CATGTTAGCATTTGATGTCATGTCATCACTCTTAATTTTAGCCAATGATGGTTTTAAGGCAGAAAAAATAGGATGAACAAAATAGGAATGTCAAGTGGGAGAAGCTAATTTGGAGACAGATGACTGGGAACACTAATTTCAGTTTTGCTTTATTAGAGTTTAAGGTGTTTTCAACTTAAAAAATGACCCTATAGGTTCTATAACTTCTCATATAGAATTTTTAAAAGAATGGCCTGTTGGAGGTAGGCAGTCATGAGTTTGAAGATTGGCTTGCCTACTTTCTGTGTGACCTTAGATAAGTTACTTGTCCTTTCCGAGCCTTCGTTTTTCTCATTTGTCAAATGTGAACTAATAGATAGTTGTACTTAGTATAGGGTCTGATGCAAGGTTAGCATTCAGTGAATGGTAGCTTGGTATTTAAATATATATTTTATGCCCCCAGTAACTTGTGAATTTCTTGCAAATCTGAGCTTTTTTTTTCTTTCTAGCTGTTTTATTCCCCAACTGTGTTAGTTCCCCATACCAGTAGTCAGAGTGATTTTATTAAACACTGATCTTGTCAGTTGCTTCCTTGTGCTGATGCCTTCAGTGGCTTCCGCAAGTGCTTAACTCCACTTGTCCTTGTCTGGGTATGATTATCTTAGGAAGAAGCCTTGATTAGGTCCTCTGTTGAAAAGATCTCCTTTCAACCTTTTTCCTTTCTACCATTTATAACTACTGTAGTCGTTTGTTTAATCTTTCTCTTCCCCTCTCTGTACTTAACTGCTTGTGTATAACTATAAAATCCATGAAGGCTGGCACATGGTAAGTGCTCAGTAAGTTTGTTTAATAGATTATCTTGTTTTAAGTTACCAGAAGACAAGGACATTTCATACTTTAATTCTTTCTGGTATTTTAACATATTGCTTTCTGTGGCGTAAGTTCTTAACAGATATTTTTGACTCTAAGTAATGGTTTGAAATAAGCTATGTAGAATCACTGGGTGAAATAAGATGAAGAGTTTTTAAAATTATTTTAGCATATTTCTATTATAACAGTAATACTTCATAGGAAATTTGGAAATCATAGAAAAAGCAGAAGAAAATTTGTAAGAGTATTGCAAAGTCTCTTGGCAGATGCTTTCAGATTGCTTTCGAAAAGGGTTTTATTGGTACACTCTTTATCAGCAGTGTTTGAGCAGTTCTATTCTCCATCTTTTCAGAATTTAAAGGTTTATAATTTGATAGAAGAAATCGATAACTTACTGTAATCTCATTTATTTATTGATCATTTTCCATTGAGTTGTAGTGCTGCCTTTTTCATCTTTAATTGTTATATACTAGGGTAGGTTTCTGAACAATGCTGTTCATTAATCTTTTTATTCTTTTTTTTTTTTTTTTTTTTTGAAATGGAGTCTCGTTCTGTCGCCCAGGCTGGAGTGCAGTGTTGCGATCTCGGCTCACTGCAAGCTCTGCCTCCTGGGTTCAGGCCATTCTCCTGCCTCAGCCTCCCAAGTAACTGGGACTACAGATGCCCGCCACCACACCCGGCTAATTTTTTGTATTTTTAGTAGAGACAGGGTTTCACTGTGTTAGCCAGGATGGTCTCGATCTCCTGACCTTGTGATCCACCTGCCTGGGCCTCCCAAAGTGCTGGGATTACAGGCGTGAGCCACCGCACCTGGCCATCTTTTTATTCTTATATTCCTGCCTCATCTATTTTAACTCCTATAACTTTAAAAATATTTCGTATGTGGCAGGACTAGGCCTCTTCATTACTTTTGTCTGTGGATTTTTATATATTTCTTAGATCTCTTCCTCTCTCTCTCATTTTAGGGCGAAATCATCCCTCATGTCCTTAACTGCTTGTGTGTAACTTTTTCTCAATAGACTATCTCCTACCAACCTCTCTCTTTCCCTTTCCTGAATGCTGATTCTCACCATAATTCTATAACATAATGTAAAGGTCTCAGTCTGCAGACCTGCCCAAATGGGAAAAATAAGGACAACCTAATATGTATTTTGCATCTGAGCACACGGGTATGTTGTATGTATATATGTGTATATGTATATATTACACCTGTGTGTGTATATACACACACATACACATACACACATCTATATGTATGCATGTTGTTTAAGGTTGCCAGCTGGTATTTCTTGAGGATTGTCATTGTTCTGGGATTATACCCTCAGTGGCCTTATTTAGCAAGATGTTGCCACCCTATGTTGGTTCCTAGAATTGTACTTGAAACTTTTACCTAACTTGTAAAATCTAAAAATATGGGAGCCGTTACTTATATTTCACACCACAATGTCTTTCTTGGTGATGATGGTGTAGTAATCGCGTTGTTTTGTCCGCCGAAAAGCGTACAGTGGAGTCACAGCTTATATGGGAGTTAGGTTTTTTTTAGCATCACTGTGTAATAGTAGCTAGTCAGAATTGCCTTTGCAAGTTACTTGTAAAGTAATGACACCATGTTGGAGATGTCTTTCATAAGTCTGGCATAACTTTTTTCCCTCAAGCACTGGAACAGATCACTGTTTCTTTGCGTTGAAACAAGGCGAAGCAATTTGCTTTTATTTAAGGGCCATGTTACATACAACTTACTCATCTTTAACCATTAGAATCACACTTTTCATTGAGAGGTGTGCGGTTTGAGAGCTGAAACCAAATGAGGTGACTAGAGATTTACATCTTGCATGTCATGCTCTCTATGAGGCTCACTGTGGCTTAGTGGTGGCATGTTGGTTGGCAGAATCCTTTGCGCTCATTGTTTTCTTGATTTTGTTTTTGCTTTTGTTTTTTGAGATAGGGTCTCGCTCTGTCACCCAGGATGGAGTGCAGTAGCATGAACTTGGCTCACTGTAGCCTCAACTTCTGGGTTCCTCCTACCTCAGCCTCTCAAGTAGCAGGGACCAGGCACATGCCACCATGCCTGGCTAATTAAAAAAAATTTTTTTTCTGTAGAGACAGGTCTCATTATGTTGCCTAGGCTAGTCTCAAACTCCTGGGCTCTTGGAATCCTCCTGCCTTGGCTTCCCAAAGTGCTGAAATCACAGGTGTGAGCCACTGCACCTGGCCTTCTCTTCTCTTTCCAAGCATCCTCTTCCCTGCTCCCCTACCAAAAAAATCATGGGACAGAGAAGTCTTAGAAGATGCTTAGAAAATTTAAGATGGGTACCATAGCTTGTGACTGCAGTCCTGGCTACTTGGGAGTATGAGGCAGGAGGATCGCTTGAGCCCAGGGGATCAAGGTGAGCTATAACCATACCATGGCACTGTAGTCTGGGCTACAGAGCCAGACCCTGTGTCATTTTTTTTCTTTTGGAGACAGAGTCTAGCTTTATTGTCCAGGGTGAAGTGCAGTGGTGCCATCTCAGTTCACGGCAACGTCCGCCTCCCCAGTTCAAGCGATTCTTGAGCCTCAGCCACCCGAGTAGCTGTGATTACAGGGGCATGCCACCACACCTGACTAATTTTTGTATATTTAGTATAGATGGGGTTCAGCCATTTTGGTTAGGCTGGTCTCAAAGTCCTGGCCTCAAGTGATCCCCCTGCCTTGACCTCCCAAAGTGCTGGGATTACAGGCATGAGGCACTGTGTCTGGCCCAGACCCTGTATCAAAAAAAAAAAAAAAAAGAATTATAGACTCAAAGAGTTGCAAATATACTACAGAGAAATCCCATGTGCCCCTTGAACTAATATCTTACATGTCTACAGTTATCCAAACTAGGAAATTGACATTGGCGTAATGCAGTTAACTAGATAATAGATCTTAACTCAGATTTCACATACTCATTTCAGTTTTTACATGCACTCATTTTTCATTTTCTTGTATGTCTGTGTGTATAATTCTAATTATTAAAACAAATACTTTCAGGCTAGACCTAGTGTCTCACACCTATAATCCCAGCACTTCAAAAAAAAATTAAAAATTAGCAGGGCTTTATGGCATGCACCTGTAGTCCCACTTACTCAGGAGGCTGAGGCAGGAGGTTCACTTGAACCGAGGAGGTTGAGGCTGCAGTGAGCCATGATCATGCCACTGCACTCCAGCCTTGGTGACAGAGTGAGACCCTATCTCAAAAAACAAACATGCAGTGAGCCATGATCATGCCACTGCACTGCAGCATGGGCAATAGATCAACACCCTGTCTTTAAAAATAATAATAATAATAATAATAATAATAATAATTTTAAGCATAATTTTAGGTTTACAGGAAAGTTGCAAAGACAATACAGAGAGTTCCCACACAGCATTCACCCACTTTCCCCTGTTGTTGACATCTTGCAGTGTTGTTGACATCTTGCGGTGTTGACATCTTGCAGTGTTGACATCTTGCAGTGTTGACATCTTGCAGTGTTGTTGACATCTTGCAATTTGTACATTTGTTACAGCTAAGGAGCCAGCATTGGCACACTACCATTCAACTCCACATTTTATTTGGATTTTACTAGTTTTCCACTAGTGCCTTTTTTCAGTTCCTGAATCAGCCAGGTTACCATATTACACTTAGTCATTATTTCCCCTTAGGTTCATCTATACTGTGGCAGTTTTTCACATTTTTCTTGTTTTTGATGATTTTGATAACTTTGAAGAACACTGGTAACTCATTTCATAGAATGTCCATGAATTTGGTTTTGTCTGATGGTTTTCTCAGAGTTAGGCTGGGGTTATAGGTTATTGAGAAGGTTACAGAGGTGATGAAGTGCAGTTTTTGTCACAGATCGTGGATGCGTGCGGTCAGTATGATGTGTCCCTGTTGATGCTGACTGTGACCACCTAGTGAGGGAGTGTTGGCCAGGGTTTCTACTGTGAAGTTCCTCTGTCCTGCCCCTTTTCATACTCGTTGGAACAAGTCACTAAGTGCAACTTGCACTCAAGGTGTGGGAGGTCTTAAACCTCCTGGAGAGGGGGATTGTCTACAAAGATTAATTGAATTCTTCTAACAGGTCTTTTTAAACTTGATGAAAACAGCATGAGTACCAAATCAGTCTAACATGTCTGTTCTTTGCAGGGTGGGAAACCCCGTAAACACCGGAAGGATCGGCTACAAGATTTAATTGATATAGGCTTTGGCTATGATGAGACAGATCCATTTATTGATAACTCAGAGGCTGTGAGTAATGTATCTTTAATATAGCAGCTGATTCATTGTTTGTATGGGATAGTAGAAGTCAAGGGTAAAGTAACTTAAATAGTGCAGTGAATGTTTTTATTTGTGCTTTTAAAAGCCATGTTCACTACTTAAAGATTTTTTTACCTTTTTTTTTTTTAAAGAATACTGCAGATTGAGAATTTTGTAATTTCGGGTTTGTCTATGGTGAGTTGTTATTACACTGTTAAAATAGATCAAGTTTTATGAAACTTTTTTCTGTAAAAGGCTACATAAGTAAGTATTTTAGACTTTGTGAACCCTATGGTTTCCGTTACAATTACACAAGTTTACCATTGTAGCATGAGAGCAGCCATAGATAATACCTAAAGAATAGTGTGGCTGCATTACAGTGAAACTTGACTTATGGTCTGGGAAATTTAAATTTCATATCATTTTCATATGTCATGAAATATTAATTTCTTTTGTTTTTTTTCCGCAATAATTTTTAAAATGTAAAATCCATTTCTAGCTTGCAAGCTGGTGGGCTAGATTTGGTCAGTGAATCTTATGGTTGCTGACTCTGTACAATGTCTTTATTTTCATATGCTCTGCTCCTTTCCAGTTACTGAAAGAACTTCTTGGGATTCTCTAATAGTTGCTCATTTTCAGATGTCTAATTATAGCGTTGACTCCATCATCACCCCTTGCTCAAACTGAGAACAAAAATAAGTTTTTAAAAAGGAAAAAGGAAAATCAAATGCTGAAAAACATTATGTTAAGCTAATGATTCTCAATCAAGGATGAGAATATTAGTACACTTATCTTAACTCAGACTTAAGGAATTAGGATTTCTGGAGGTGAGGCCTACAGAGATTTTAGTGTGTTTTTTTGTTTTTGTTTTTTTTAATATAAGATTAACATGCTTATGGTAAAACAACAATAAAGTACAAGGTGATTATGAAGTAGAAGGTAAAGTACACAAAGGCCCCACTCCTGAGAGGTAAATACTAAAAATCTTCTTGTGTAGTTGTCCAGAAATTTCAGAATTTCAGTGATACATATTAGTACATGGATATAATCCTAATGGCTGTTAGCGAATATACCTAAAGTACATAGTGTATTTGTCTAGTCCTGTTTGATGTACATCTAAATTGTTTCTGGTTTTATGTACATACAAATAATTGAGCATCTGGATGCTTTTATCTACTTAAGTAAATGTGTATGAAGGGTATTTGGGGAGTGCATTTATATGGGTAGGGTAAATTTCTAACAGTGGAATTTATTGGTCAAAGGGCATATATTTGCATCTTGATTTTTACTGATATTCCCAAACTTGGGCAGGTGTGTTTCAAAATGACTTCCAACATAAGAACCATGCAGTCTTAAATATTGGTGCTACTAGGTTGAAATTAATCTGGCAGACATCTCTAATACCTATTTAATTTTTTATTGCTGCCATGCCTTATTACCAGGATGGTATATTGAATGCCAGTCTTTATCACCAGTCTGTTTTGGTTGAGCCCTACAGCTTTTCCCCTGGAATCCCCTTTCTCTTATAAAAGGAAGAGGAATTTAGGAGAGCATTTAAGGACTGTAGCAGCCCCTTGATCACATAGCAGATGAAAGACAGCAAGTCATGTTTTGCAGTAGAGAACGTGTATGTTCTTCCATTCTTGTTTATATACTAGAGTAATCTAATCCCTGGGATTATGATATCCTCTGCGATGTGCAGTAATTAAGGATATACAGAAAGTGATGCTAGGTGACTATTACACTCCCCACAAATTATATAGTATGTCTTTTTTCCTGTTGCTACACTGCTTGCTTATAAAGTTGATGACAGAACTTATCAAGTTAGTAGAATGACAGTAAGGACTCCAACCTGAGGCACATTGGATACTCTGTCAAACTCCTAAGTTGCTTCTGGTGTCTTGACATGATCTTATTTACCATACTAGGCAGCCTGGTCTGTAGAGGTAATATATTGCCAGCGCCCTTTGGAGTAAAGTGGGCTTCGTATTACAAAAAAGATCGTCAACCAATAAATCAGGGCATGGAATGTTTTTCCAGAGTCTTGACCTTGATTTGTAACTCAGTGAAGAAGTCTAGATTATAATCTTAATTCAGTTTCTAATTTGCTGTGTAGCCAGGAACAAGTCTTTCAGCACTACCCAGTTTTCTCTGCTGTGACTTGCTTACCCCACAGAATTATTGAGCCTTAAATAAGGTAATGAATGTCAACTAGCTGAAGAACGTGAAGCAAGTGCAAAGCATCAGTAGAAGTGTTAATATTATGTGTACATTTTGAATTCTAAATAACCCAAGAAGGAACTTAGCCATATATAAATGGGCATCACATGTACTCACACTTAAATAGCTTTTTTTAATTAATAAACTTTATTTTCTTAGAGCAGTTTTAGAGTCACAGCAAAACTGAGCAGAAAGTACAGAGCTTCCATGAACACCTTGCCCCCATGCACACACTACCTTCCCCGCTCTCAGCATCCTGTACCACAGTAGTACATTTGTTATAGTTGATGAGCCCGAATTGTGACACATCATTGTCACCGAAGTCCATAGTTCACATTAGGGTTCATTCTTGGGGTTGTATATTTTGTGGGTTTGGACAAAGGAATAATGACATGTATCTACGATGGTAGTATCACACAGAAATATAGTATCACTTCCCTCAAAATCTTCTGTGCTCTGCCTATTTATTCCTCCTTCCCTCCTAATCACTGGCAACTACTGGTCTTAACTGTCTTCATAGTTTTACCTTTTCCAGAATGTCTTATAGAGAAAATCATATAGTATGTAACTTTTATAAATAGCATTTTCAATATCTCCTTTTGTAGCATTTAGGATATTTTCATGCTGACTTTTGTAACCCATAATTGGATTATACATCAACTTAAAGGACGTGACTGGTATTTTTAAAGAAAATGAACTCAAATAGAATCGGAATTAGTACATCATTGGTAGACTATACAGTTTTTATTGTGTGTGTATGTGTGTGCTAGATTTTGATGGGTAATGTATTTTCCACTTGGATTGTGGTGAAGAAAAGTTGAAAGCTACTGTTAATTAATAAGTTAGGATAAATTTTGTAGTTACAAATTGTTTAGTCATACAACTAGTTTCTGAACAAGATAGGTTCCTGTTTTATAAGAAGAAATTGAATTGAAATGCAGGTTGCTTGACTTACAAAATAACTTAGTATCTTTGCCCTTGACATATTGTTTTTTTTTTTTTGTGAGATAATTCAGACATAGAACAACTATGGTCGAACCAAATGATTCTTGTTCTTTTTATTTATCGTATTGCCAATAAGCTTTCCGCGTTGGCATATTTTTGATATATTCTGAATCATGCACTAATTACTAAAAATAAATACCTGAAAATAAATGCTTTTGAAGATTATTTTTAGTCTCATATTTATGCTACCAAATTGTAAAAGAGCTGAAAGAAAATGTTTTATTTATTATTAATGATACCAGGCATGAATTACACTTTATTTAATCTCTTTTAAATTTCACTAGAACTTTGTGAAGTAATATTGTCCCTGTTTTATAACCGTCCAAAATTGATGTTAAGTGATTTTCCCTGGGTCATAGTAGCTAGTCATAGGCAAGGAATCGAAATCCAGGACTTTGGATTCTTAAGTTCAATGTATTACCTCTTAATACATTCTACTGAAATGGCTGAACTAAATATTCATAAAGAGTGTATTCCCCTGAAGAGTATTCGGATAGGAAAAGCTCAGCAGAATACTGCATAAGAAAACAGACTTTGAGCACATCAGAATTGCCCTGGATACCTGGGGATGAACATGTTTCACTCCCACGTGAAGCTGCTTGATATAGTAGATGGGTTGGAGGCAGCCACTGACTTTGCCATAAACATGTATATAGAATTGCTTTGGTAAGGTACTTACCCGGCTTTCACTTTTAAAGTGGGAGTAATATTTGCCTTTTTTACCTCACAAGGGTATCATGAGGACCAAATGAAATAATTTATATGAAGAAGTATTGAAAATTATAAAACATGGTACAGAACAATGTAGGCAAAGAGTACAGGTGTTTTTATCTTGTCACAGTTAGTTTTCAGAATTATTACAGTCTTTTCACTTTTAATCCTTCACTCCTCACATCACTTCTTTATTTGCAGATGGTCCTGCCCCTTTTCTTCAAGATCTTTATAGTAGTGTAGCTCTTTGTAGTAGATTTTTCTAGTAGTGTATCAAGTAGAGCAATAAGAAGGTAGTTCATTTTTTTCTTTTACCTTTCTTCAATCATTTTATTTCTTTTTAATTCAGTGTAATTGAACTGGACCCTCTTCCTTTTTCCATTCTCCATATAATTGAAAAGGATACAGGTTAAAGTTACAGCTTTTGTAGTTAGCCTTAATATTCTTACAGTAACTAATAGGGTATGTATATTCCTTGCCCATGGCAAAGAAGTTTCCCTAAAAATCTGACTTTCTTAAAGACTAGTTAGATAATGTGAAGAACCTCGGAAGTAGAGGTCTGGAGATCCCAGGTAACAGATATCTTTCTGCAATCAGATAAGTTCCTTTTTTATTTCCTACTTTGAACACCTTCATTGGTTGAGTTGTTCTTCACTTAATGTTTGCTTTTTACCCATCTTTATCAGGTGAGGTAATGGTAAACCTTAAGATCCGGCCTTTGGGGACATAAGTGTGATTTAAACAAATTGAGTTCCTTTCTCCAAGCAAAGTGCCTCCTCATTCTAGGTCCTCAAGTATGTGCTTTCTGAACAGGGCAGTTGTTTTTCTGTGCTATTCTTCTTTTAAAATATGTGCTATTCTTTTTCTAAAATGTATTTGCTGTTTTTCTTTCTTTCTCTTTTTATTTCTGAGACACAGTCTCACTGTGTCACCCAGTCTGGAGTGCAGTGGTATGATCTCGACTCACTGCAACCTCCGCCTCTCGTGTTCAAGCGATTCTCCTGCCTCAGCCTCCCAAGTAGCTGGGACTACAGGCACCCCCACCCCACCAGCTAATTTTCTTTTTGTATTTTTAGTAGGGATGGGATTTCACTATGTTGGCCAGGCTGGTCTTGAACTCCTGACCTCATGATCTGCCCGCCTTGGCCTCCCAAAGTGCTGGGATTACAGGCGTGAGCCAACATGCCCGGCCTAAATTAAATGTTTTTAAAATTTTCTCCACTTAAAAGCATATGACTAAGACAGGAAAAAAAAAGTTTCTGTTAAATAGAATGTTGTGTTGTTTTTTGTTTTTTTAGACTGAGTTTTGCTCTTGTTGTGCAATGGTGCAATCTTGGCACACTGCAACCTCCACCTCCCAGGTTCAAGGGATTCTCCTGTCTCAGCCTTCTGAGTCGCTGGGATTACAGGCGTACGCCCGGCTACTTTTTGGTATTTTTAGTAGAGACAGGGTTTCACCATGTTGGCCAGGCTGGTCTTGAACTCCTGACCCCAGGTGATCCGCCTTCCTCCACCTCCCAAAGTGCTGGGATTATAGGCTCCAGCCACCGTGCCCAGCCAGTTTTGTTATTCTTTATAAAATCTCCTTATGGTAGGAAATGAAATTTACTCCTTATCTGGACACTTAGTCATCTTTTTAAACTTGATTTCTCATCAGAACCATTTGTCATTAAGAATAGTAGCAGTGGGAAGGAAAAAAAAAGGAATAGTAGCGGTGATCCTTAAATTTTTCTCAGCAGGTGATATATTTAGAATTTATTATTTCAGAAGTTTTTTTCTTATACCAAATTATCAGAGCTAATTTTTATTCCAGATAGTAACTTTTTCTAAATTTATTTTACAAACATCCTCATTGCAGTCTGTGTTGCAGTTAGGATTTAAGGGAGATGCTGCCATGGTGGATGAATTTCTTTGACATTTATAGAGTTAAAGACAATAGGATATAGCTGAAACTTTTTTTTTTAATCTAGTATGACGAATTAGTTCCCGCTTCTCTAACAACAAAATATGGAGGCTTTTATATCAACACTGGCACTCTACAGTTTCGCCAAGCTTCAGATACTGAAGAAGATGATATTACAGACAACCAAAAGCACAAGCCACCCAAAGTGAGTTTATCAAACATTGCAACAAGTAATGAGAATGTTCAGTTATTAGGATTTTTTTTAATGTTACTTGTGTCACAAGTGTGAATGTAAGGAAAAGTAAAATACAAACCATTGTGTCATGGATATATAGTTACATGCTTTAAAATTAAATTATGTAGATACGGGAAAATTGGTATTTACATCATAGAATTATATTTTCTTTTTTTTTTTTTTTTGAGACGGAGTCTCGCTTTGTCGCCCAGGCTGGAGTGCAGTGGCGCAATCTCGGCTCACTGCAAGCTCCGCCTCCCAGGTTCACGCCATTCTCCTGCCTCAGCCTCCGAGTAGCTGGGACTACAGGCGCCCGCCACCTCGCCCGGCTAATTTTTTGCATTTTTAGTAGAGACGGGGTTTCACCGTGTTAGCCAGGATGGTCTCGATCTCACGACCTCGTGATCCACCCGCCTCGGCCTCCCAAAGTGCTGGGATTACAGGCGTGAGCCACCGCGCCCGGCCTAGAATTATATTTTCTTTGAAAAACTTCTCTCTACAAATGTGGCTAATAATTTACTGTTACTGGGAGAAGGTTATATTTCTCAGATAGGTTAAGATTTCCTATAGAAATGACTAATAGCTGTTACCTTTCCTGAGATGTCATTTGTAACAAAATCTATAGAATCTGTATACATTGTCTTTGGGAAAGATAGAGTGTCCTTAGATAAATGTTTCTTGAAGTGTGGTCCAAAGACTTAGTTATACCGGAATCACCAGAATGCTTGTTTAAAATGCAAATTATGAGGTCCTAACCCAGATAACTGAATCGAAACTGGAGGTGAGAGTGCTCTTGAACCCCAAGGATCTGCATTTATAACAAGCGATTGTAATGCACACTGACATTTGAGAAAAACCACTGCTGATGCTGGATTGCTAACATCAAAGAGTAAAGCATTGATACTTTCATAAATGATCATTCTTTTACCATTTTGCAGGTCCCCAAAATAAAAGAAGATGATATTGAGATGAAGAAGCGGAAGCGGAAAGAGGAAGGGGAAAAGGAGAAGAAGCCAAGGAAAAAAGTACCCAAACAACTGGGGTACGTTCAGTTAAACCTAAGAAGGAAACTGGTGTCACAGTATGACTGTCTCTCCCTTTAGAAAGATATCTTACCATTAACTAATTCAACTTAGCTGAGTCTAATTTAGTACGTTATTGACAAATATTAGTGACTTACATTTAATACTACTGTAGTATTTGTTCATAAGTAGAAGGCCTTGTAATCTTAGAGACTGAGTGTTTTAGATGAAATTTATAGATTGGTTCATTAAGTATTTTGCTCATTATAACTTTTACCAACAAGAACCAGTTTGAAAAGATATTATAAACATTGAAAAAACTGTTCTAATCTTTTGGTACTAAAACTAAGATGCCTGGGGAATGAAGATTAGCAGTAGCCTATATGTGAACAATTTATGGTTGTTCTAATATTTAAAATTTTGATTTGATTGATTGATTGATTGGAGACAGATTCTCATTCTATCACCCAGGCTGGAGTACAGTGGCCCAATCTAGGCTCACCGCAACTTCCGTCTCCTGGGTTCAAGCGATTCTCGTGCCTCAGTCTCCCAAGTAGCTGGGATTACAGGTGTATGCCATCACACTCAGCTAATTTTTCTATTTTTAGTAGAGAATATTTTAGTAGTGAAACATGAGGATTTCACTATGTTGGCCAGGCTGGTCTCAAACTCCTGACTTCAGGTATTCCGCCTCCCTCAGCCTTCCAAAGTGCTGGGATTACAGACGTGAGCCACCCACCGCACGCAGCCAAAATTTTCATTGATTGTATATAGCTGTTCTTTTTTTTTTTTCCTCCTTGAGACAGGGTCTTCTGGCGCAATCATGGCTCACTGCAGCCTCAACCTCCTGGGATCAAAGGATCCTCCTGCCTCAATTACCTGAGTAGCTGGGACTATAGGCATGTACCACTATGCCTGGCTAATTTTTATATTTTTGTACAGATGGTGTTTCGCTGTGTTACCTAGGCTGGTCTTGAACTCCTGGGCTCAAGTGATTCACTAGCCTCAGCCTCCCAAAGTGCTGGGATTACAGGCATGAGCCACTGCACACAGCCAGTATATAGCTAGTATTAATGATATTGCTGCTAAAAACGAAATAGAATTTCTCAGAAGCCTTACATCAGAAGAACAAAATATTTGTATAATGTAGTAAAAAATTAGCAATTGCCTTGACTTCTCTGTGGCTTTTTTCGCAGAGCTAAGGGAAAGACACTTGTGAGAGGCTGAATTTTCTTACTCTACTTAGCAGTGGAGGCGCATCTGAATTTTGGGTTATCAATATCCATAAGGTTGATGTAGGGGGTATTTCTCTCCTTCTAAAACTTGGGATTACAGTCATTAAAAAATTAGGAGAAAAAAATGTATGTATTACTAATGGTTGTCTTAAATGTTCATTATTTACAAGTAGACTTCTTTGGGAACATAGGCTACAAGTAATCCCTTTTATTGAATGTGTTGTTTTTCAACTTTATAACTTATTCATGTATTCAGCTAATATTTATTAAGTACCCTGCTGTATATGAGGCACTGATGTAGGGTTTGGGTTGTATAACAGTGACTGAAACATGGGGCTGCCTTCAAGATGCTAATAACCTTTTAGGTTCTGTAGTTCACATAGAAGCATTTAAGCTGTAGGATTTAGAAAAGATTTCTAGGAGGAAGTAATAGCTAAACTGAGCTGTTTCCACATTTTCTTCACTATAATGGCCATTTACTTATTTGCCTTTCATGGGTGACATTCCAGATTATTCTGAAGAAGATGCTATTGTAATGGTGTAAGTTAATAAGAAATTAAGAAAACTGCTCTGTCACCTGTCAAATGATTATTTTAATTCTGTGCCTGCTTATTTATATGACACTTTAAAATCACACATAGCCTATCATTTTTTTCTTCACAGAGTTGTGGCTCTAAATTCACACAAGTCTGAAAAAAAGAAGAAACGTTATAAAGATTCTCTTTCTCTGGCTGCCATGATCAGAAAATTCCAGAAAGAGAAGGATGCATTAAAGAAGGAGTCTAACCCCAAAGTCCCAGTGACCTTGTCAACCCCCTCTCTAAATAAACCCCCATGTGCTGCTGCAGCACTGGGGAATGATGTCCCGGACTTAAATCTGAGCAGCACTGATCCAGACCTTCCCATTTTTGTTAGCACAAATGAACATGAGCTGTTTCAGGAAGCTGAAAATGCCCTAGAGATGCTAGATGATTTCGACTTCGACAGATTACTGGATGCTGCTTCTGATGGTAGCCCCCTATCTGAATCGGGGGGTGAAAATGGAACCACCACCCAGCCAACCTACACTTCTCAGGTTATGCCCAGAGTGGTACCTACACTCCCAGAGGGTCTACCTGTACTTCTTGAAAAACGTATTGAAGACCTTCGTGTAGTAAGTGTAATAATTCTCTTGCTTTTTATTTGCTGCACAAACATGAGAATTAGTGCTTTTGTTTGTTTGTTTTTATTTTCCACATAACACTGATATAATTGCTTTTGTTTTTTTAAAGATAATAACCTACAATCCCAACATTTTTATAACTTTTTATTTTCCATGTTTCCTTTTAGACCTTTCTTTTTTTTTGAGACGAAGCCTCGGTCCATCGCCCAGGCTGGAGTGCAGTGGCGTGCTCTGCTCACTGCAAATTCCACCTCCCGGGTTCAAGTGATTCTCCTGCCTCAGCCTCCTGAGTATCTGGTATTACAGGCGCCCACCACCTCCCCCAGCTAATTTTTGTATGTTTAGTAGAGATGAGGTTTCACCGTGTTGGCCAGGCTTTTCTTGAATTCCTGACCTCAGGTGAACTGCCTGCTTCAACCTCCCAAAGTGCTGGGATTACAGGCATGACCCACCGCACCCGGCCTAGACCTTTTCTTTTAAATAGAAATAACTGGCTGGGCGTGATGGCACATGCATGTAATCCTACCACTTTGGGAGGCCAAGGCGGGTGAACCACTTGAGGTCAGGAGTTTGAGACTAGCCTGGTCAATATGGTGAAACCCTGTCTCTACTAAAAATACAAAAAAAAATTAGGTGGACGTGGTGATGCGTGCCTGTAATGCCAGCTACTTGGGAGGCTGAGGCAGAGAATTGCTTGAACCTGGGAGGTCGAGGTTTCAGTGAGCCGAGATTATGCCACTGCACTCCAGCCTGGGTGACAGAGCAAGACTCCGTCTCAAAAAAAGGAAAAAAACCCAAATAAATAAATAGAAATATCTTAGTGATAACATCAATAGAGTTGATTCTTTTATTATTAAATAGGATTCACCTGACTCTAGAGTAGATGGCATAGGTATTTTGTTATCCCATGTGGCCCCATCTCGATAATCTTAGTTTCTTTTAGGTTTTAAAAAGTGCTAATGATGCAATTCAGGTTTTTCAAGGTGTAATTATTAATAATGGCTTATCGTTTATTTAGCAAGAACCAATCCTGTGTGTTAGTTCCTTATTTATAAGATAGGGACTGCAACACCATCTTTTTTGGCTGTTACGAAGGTTAAACATGGTGATGAGCATGAAGTCAGACACATGGTAGGCAGTAACGTGTATAGAAAGTGAGACATCTCCTTTCTATTTCCTTTCTGTTACCTTGGAAATCACAGCAAGAATTAATAAACCTATGGATAATCAAAATACACAAGATATCCAAAGTATTTGCCTCATTTTGTGAATTTAGGAAGATAAATTATATGTATTGTATGTATATATATATCAAATATGGAAGAGAAGGGTATATATGCTGAATTTGAACACTCAAACTGCATACCAAGGATACAAAGTTAAGTGAATTATAGCCCTACCCTCAAGGAGCTTATTCTTTAGTAAATAGATATGGAAACAGTATCTTGTTTTTTGAACTGTGGATTGAGACTTATCAGTGGGTTGGAAATCACAATAGAAGGTAAAGGCCAGCATATTTAAAAAATGAAATAAAAATGGCCAGGTGCGGTGGCTCACACCTGTAATCCCAGCGCTTTGGGAGGCTGAGGTGGGCAGATCACCTGAGGTCGGGAGTTTGAGACCAGCCTAGGCAACATGGTGAAACCCCATCTCTACTAAAAATACAAAAATTAGCCCTGCATGGTGGCAGGCGCCTGTAATCCCAACTAGTTAGGAGGCTGAGGCGGGAGAATCGCTTGAACCCTGGAGGCGGAGGTTGCGGTGAGTTGAGCCTGCCACTGCACTCCAGCCTGGGCAACAGAGCAAGACTCCATATCAAAAAAATAATAATAATAAGGATAGGAATACGTGCTAATACATCAAAAGTAGGTTCCAAAATATTGTTGTATGACATTTTTGTTTATATACATGTGTAACTACTGGATGACTAAATCTAATTTTCTGTAGCTAGGTCATATAAAAAGTCTTGCGGTTATAAAGTTTAAAATTCCATCAGAAATTCTTCTAGATGTTTTTACTCAAAGGAAATCTATTTTTTATTCACATTAGGCTTTGGTAAGTACTATAGATGCATCATGAAGACATTATAACTTAATTTGCAGTTTGATACCTTTTATGACCTGTGATGCTGATTGAATTTAAAAATAGTACTAATTTATTATTCACATTACTTTTTTAAAAATACTGTTTTTGCCTTCACCAAATCATCAGTTAAATGACCTTTTAAAAAATCCTTTATTTCAACAGTTGTACTATTGATTCCATATTACTTTTTCACTACATGTTTGACTTTTTAACTTCCTTTTAGAGATTACCAACTCTACTGATTTTTTTGTTGTTGTTGACTATATCTAAGATTTTTTTTTTTCCCAAAATATAGCATACTGCCTCCAGCCACACATTTCAGCTGGATCATTGACTGTATCTTGGTCAGCGATCCTCATGGAATGTAGCTAACTCTATTAATAGTTATGTCAGTGACTCCTTAAGGACAGAGTCATAGAATCTGTCTTCTTGGATTCAAGTTAGATATGGCACCAGATTCTTTTGTCTGCTTGTAGAAGACTGCAGCTTCAGTGTGGGTTGATCACACGATTTGGACCTTTTTTTTTTTTTTTATGTTACACTATTTTTGTTTGTTTGTTTTGAGACAGTGCAGTGGTGCGATCTCAGCTCTCTACACCCTCCACCCCCCTGCAACCTCCGCCTCCCGGGTTCAGGTGATTCCTGCCTCAGCCTCCCAAGTAGCTGGGACTACAGGCGCGTGCCACCACACCTGACTAATTTTTTGTATTTTTAGTAGAGATGGGGTTTCATTGTGTTAGCCAGGATGGTCTTGATCTCCGGCTTCAGCCTCCCAAAGTGCTGGGATTACAGATGTGGGCCCTGCACCCGGCCGATATTTTAAAAATCTGTAAAAGTTGTGATCCTAAGAATATGAAAAACAAACAGATCAATTCCCATCAAGGTTAAGAGCCTCTGGAGGGACCATGGGCCTGCTGACACCTTGATTTCAGCCCAGTGATACTGACTTTGTACTTTGAACTGAGGAAGGATAAATTTCTCTTGTTTTAAGCCAAAAAGTTTGTAGTTTGTTACAGTAGCTGAAGGAAACTTACACAGTACCCAGCTGAACTTGAATCTCTCAAATGGCTTTGCCTGTCTGTTCATCACAACTCATTTAGTGGTCTGATAGGAGCTTCTTTTTTTTTTTTCATTAGATATTAATCTCAAAGTAATTGTTTATTGCAGCAGGGCACAGTGGTACATACCTATAATCCCAGCTACTTGGGAAACTAAGTTGGGAGGATTGCTTGAGCCCAGGAGTTTGATACCAACCTGGGCAACATAGTGAGGCCCTATCTCAAAAAACAAAATAAAACAAAAACCAAAAAACCTTTGAACATGTGTCCTAAGAATACAAAATAGAGTAATGGCTTATTTTGAATTATGACCATCTTTCTTGTTTCTCTAGGCTGCCAAACTTTTTGATGAAGAAGGAAGGAAAAAATTCTTTACACAGGATATGAATAATATTCTTCTGGAGTAAGTAATTTTCTTTAAAAAAAATTAAGAATGATTCATTAAAAAATGTAATAGGCCTTTGAGATATACTGGGTGATTGGCAAGTCTTGGGCGTGAGTTCTTCCCTTTAAGCCTTACAGCATGTATGATTCACATTTGTTTCTCAGCAAAATTATGTTTCTGCATGTATTGGTTTTCCTGGACCACTTAGGATAATCAAAGCTTCCAGTAGTTACAACTGCCAGAGCAAGTGACCACTGTACAGGTTGGATATTTAGCTAGACTTAAATGTACTTCATGTCACCTTATGTGAAAGTGTCTTTCTGGGAAATGTTAGAGCATTTATATATGGATTTGGCATGATTTTCCATCTACTTTTATACTTATACTGGGGAATAGTAATTCCATTGATACCTAGTGAGGTTAATTATAATTTGTACAAACTTTTATAGTCAAATGGAAAGTACAGTTTTGTAAAGAAATTGTGGTTGTGAAGTAGGATAGAGATAATGTAGAGGGGATAGCAGTTGGATTGAGAATAAGGTGAAGGTGGATATATAATATAGATTGTATTTAAATTAGCAAATTTTGTATTTAACTTAGCAATAATTTTGCACTCAGAGTTTGATACTAATGAAGCAGTAGGTTCTAAGGTTGTGGTCAAATAAACCGAACTTGTAAACCTTGTTCTCGACTTAGATTTTAACCATTGTTTCAGGAATCAGGTATATAATTGGATGCAGAACTGGTCAAAAAGTAATCATGGGGAAAATAGCAAATTTTCACCTCTCTGGTGAAAATAATATTTGCTTATTCTTAGTGATTTAATAGCATCATATATTATAGAAAGACACAGGAAAGGTCAGACATGGTGGCTCATGCCTGTAATCCCAACACTTTGGAAGGCCAAGGTGGAAGGATCACTTGAGCTGAGGAATTTGGAATTTGAGACCAGCTTGGGGAATATAGTGAAACTCCATTTCTATAAAATATACAGAAATATTAGCCAGGTGTGGTGGTGCACACCTATCATGTCAGCTACTCAGGAGGCTAAGGTGGGAGGATTCATTAAGCCTGGGAGATTGAACCTGCAGTGAACTGTGTTCGTGCCACTGTACTCCAACCTGGGTGATAGAGTGAGACCCTGTCTCCAAAAAAAAAAAAAAAAAAAAAAGAGGAGGAAAAGGGAAATAACGGGAAAAGGAAAAGGAAAGTAGTATTTATAATACTATAATTGCCATCTTTTAAATACGTAATGGAGATAGTTTCTCATGAGATGTGAAGAAGGGCTTGTTGAATCGTTGCTTCTGATAATGCTTGTAATTTATTACAGTCTTATTTTGGAGTACTTAAAAATAGACTCAGAAAACATATAGTCTGCTGCTAGTATGGTGGCAGAGGAGTTTCTCATTTCTGTTCCTAGTTATTTTAACCAGGAATTTTCAGATGGAGTCTTTCTGCCTGGCAGCCAGACAAATGCTTTCTATCTACACCAGCTCCTTTTCCCTAGTTCCCTTTAAAACTCCAGACTCAGTGAACAGTGCAGCCATGACTTGTCAGAGCTGTCCCAGATTCCATAGTCAGGGATCTGATCAACTCTTCTTTTTCTTTCCACCTGTGAACCCAAAATGTGATCAGGTCCTTATCTTGTGACTGAGGCTGTTCTTTTTTATTTTACTCTTCTGTGAAAGGGAGCAACTGTTTCTGTCCCGGGAGAGTCAAAAGACCATCCTTGGGACATAGCTTCTCAGATAAGCAGAATATCAGCATTCCATTTACAGGCTTTCCTATTTATTCCTCTCATGTCTATCTTAAAACGAATCTTTTCATTTTTTCGAGCCCATCTGCTTTTTATTTCACAGAGGGTATGCCTCCAATTTCACAAGTACTAGTGTTCTGAGTTGAAGTTTTTCCCTTTTAGTCACTTTCTTATTCCCTCAGCCTCTTTTTCCACTTTCCTAAACAAACATGTCTTATTTTCTGTATTGAGCTGCCTCCTAAGAGAATATGGAACATGATTATTTAGAGTAGGAACTCCTGTGAAGCTATCCAGTTGTATTGGTGATGCCTCGCCATTGCTTCCTTATACTAGGGGGAAAAAAGATCAGTTTGTTGGAATAGGGAACCCCCTTCCCCCCTTTTTTGCCTGATTGAATTTTGCGTACTCAGAACACTAGATCAAGAAATACACAACATGCTGACTTGATTTCCTTGCCTACTACCTAGAACAAACATTGCTCATAATTTTTTTTTTTTTCTTTTTTGAGACAGGGTGTCGCTCTGTTGCCCAGGCTGGAGTAGTGATGTGCTCATGGCGCACTGCTGCCTCGACCTGCGGGCAATTGCCACTAGGCTGAGGGGTAGTATAATATCTCTTTGAGGAAAAGAACTTTTGGTTAATTACAAATTTATTGTGCTTTACCTGAAAACATAGAGTTTGCCCCTATAACCCGAAAAATATTTCCAGCTTGTTCATGGTTATAGAAGTTCTACTCTTAGACTAATAGAATACTTTTATAGCATTACTATTTATTGGTATGGGGCTGGGTGCAGTGGCTCACACCTGTAATCCCACACTTTGGGATCAAAGGCCAAGGCGGGTGGATCACCTAAGGCCAGTAGTTCAAGACCAGCCTGGCCAACATCTCTACAACATTTAGTAGAGATGGTGAAACCCCGTCTCTACAACATTTAGTAGAGATGGTGAAACCCCGTCTCTACTAAAAATACAAAAAACTTAGCTGGTCATGGTGGCGGGCGCCTGTAATCCTGGCTACCTGGGAGGCTGAGGCAGGAGAATCACTTGAACCCAGGAGGCAGAGGTTGCAGTGAGCCGAGACCATGACATTGCATTCCAGCCTGGGCTACAAGAACGAAACTCTGCCTCTAAATAAATAAACAAACTATTTATTGCTATGGGTTTTTTTTTTTTCCCGCCATGAAAAATTCTCTTTAGGAAATCATGAAAAGATAAAATGAGAACAAGAATTGGCTTTGCTTTCTTGTCTGTACAATGCCACCTAAAACAAATTCTACATTGTTCATTGTTGTTAACTTTTTTGGCCAGCATTGAGTTACAGCTACAAGAACTAGGCCCCGTCATTCGCAGTGGTGTCTACTCCCACCTTGAAGCTTTTGTGCCATGCAATAAAGAAACACTAGTAAAACGTCTAAAGAAGTTACATCTCAATGTCCAGGTAAGAGGAAGAACAATAATATCTACATCTTGGGTTTCATAACCTGTAAAGACTGTTTTTTGTTTTTTTTTTTTTTTGCTTTTAATACAGGGTCTTTCCCTGTTTCCCAGACCGGAGTGCCGTGGCGTGAACATGGCTCTCACTGCAGCCTTAACCTCCTGGGCTCAAGCAGTCCTCCCACCTCAGCCTCCCAAGTAGCTGGGACTACAGGCTGGCATCATCACACCTGGCCATTTTTAAATTTTTTTTTGTAGGGACAGGGTCTCACTATGTTGCCCAGGCTGGTCTTGAACCCCTGGCAAATTTGAAGTTATTTAATATCCCTTTGGCTATGGAAGAAAGATATCTTACCCTTGCTTTTCTTTTTATGGTTTTATCACATATATTTGTATCCCTAAACATTTTATTTAGTTTTGCATGTTTTTGAGCTTCATATAAAGAAATACTGTCTGCTTTCTTCTGTAGCTTGTAATGTCCAATATTGTGCACCTGAGATTCATCTTATGTCTACATATAGCAGAAATTTTTTTTTTTTGGAGACAAAGAGTCTCGCTCAGCCCAGGCTGGAGTGCAGTGGCGTGATCTCAGCTCACTGCAACCACCATCTCCCAGGTTCAAGCGATTCTCCTGTCTCAGCCTCCCGAGTAGCTGGGATTACAGGCACCTGCCATCATGCCCAGCTAGTTTCGTATTTTAGTAGAGACGGGATTTCTCCGTGTTGGCTAGGCTGGGGTCTTGAACTCCTGACCTCAGGTGATCCTCCCAGCTCAGCCTCCCAAAGTGCTAGGATTACAGGCGTGAGCCAACGTGCCCAGCCAGAAATACATTCATTTTTACTGCTGGGTGCACAGCGTTCCATTGTGTGAATATATCCCAATTAATTTGTCCATTTGACTATTTATGGATATTTGGGTTGTTTCTGGGAAGAAGTCTAAGCTACATAATTCTTCAAAAGTAATCATCTAGGAACGACGATACTGGATGTTCACTTTTTTTTTTTTTCTGGCCACTGCGCCTGGCCAGATGTTCACATTTTTTAAAATAAGATTTTATGTCATATGTGCTATCATATTTATTTACTGGTGTTCATGGAATAGGTTAATATGTACATTTTTAAACATAGGATTTTACGTTATATGTGCTGTAATATTTACTGGTGTTTGTGGAATAGGTTAATATGCTTATTTGTAATATTCGTGTTTTTAAAATCTTTTCTTTACCAAAAATCACATTTTAAATTGTTTTGGCTCGGTAGCTCACGCCTGTAATCCCAGCACTTTGGGAGGCTGAGGCAGGCACATCACTTGAGGCCAGGATTTTGAGAACAGCCTGGCCAACATGGCAAAACCCTGTCCTACTAAAAATAGAAAAATTAGTTGGGTGTGGTGATACACACCTGTAGTCCCAGCTACGCAGGTGGCTAAGGCACGATAATCACTTGAACCCAGAAGGCGAAGGTTGCAGTGAGCCAAGATGGTGCCACTGCACTCCAGCCTGTGTGACAGAGCAAGACTCTGTCTCCAAAAAAAAAATTGTTTCGATGAAGAAAAGTAAAGTCTTATAATATTTCTGCACCTATAATGGTGATAAAAGTATGTTTTAAGTAGTTACATATATATATACAGTTGCTTGCAAGATGAAAGTAGTAAATTGATTGATTAAAACGGTCAGATGCAAGCCTACTTTCTTTTTTGTCCAGAAAACCCACGTGAATAAGAGTTTTCGGGTTCCTTTCACTTTGGCCTTGACCTTGCATTTTTACTTGCAGCCTAAGTCAGAATTACTAACCATAAGAGAATAGGATACCAACATCCGGTTGGTAGTCACCCAAACCAAACACGTGTGTTCGTGTTCCAAAGCAGTGTCTCTTCTTAGGGCACTGGTTTCCCGTCATAATGGAGATTAACCAGTAGTAGTCTATACAAGTAGAAGACAATGATTTTGTTTTAAGTTATCTATATGAAAGTGTCCATGGGGCATTTTTAAGAGTGTAACGGAACACCATTAATAACTATGCTGGGCAACAGGGAAAAACTGGTACTCTTCTTGGGTAACTTGGAAATGTCAGTCTAATTGTGTATCTAGTGTGTATTAAAAAAAGTCAGTGTTGCGGCCGGGCGCGGTGGCTCAAGCCTGTAATCCCAGCACTTAGGGAGGCCAAGACGGGCGGATCACGAGGTCAGGAGATCGAGACCATCCTGGCTAACACGGTGAAACCCCGTCTCTACTAAAAATACAAAAAAAAAAACTAGCCGGGCGAGGTGGCAGGCGCCTGTAGTCCCAGCTACTCGGGAGGCTGAGGCAGGAGAATGGCGTGAACCCGGGAGGCGGAGCTTGCAGTGAGCTGAGATCCGGCCACTGCACTCCAGCCCGGGCTACAGAGCAAGACTCTGTCTCAAAAAAAAAAAAAAAAAAAAAAAAAAAAAAAAAGTCAGTGTTGTAGGAGAAATGTCCATATTTAGATATGCTAATATTTCAAATCTATAATTGGTATCTAAAACATAATTTTTATCTTTTGGGGACCTGCTTACAAAATTTTGTAAATATGTCTGATAAAAACTTTTAGTATGTTTTTCTTTTTAGGATGATCGTTTAAGAGAACCTCTGCAAAAACTGAAACTGGCGGTTAGCAATGTCATGCCTGAACAGCTATTTAAATACCAGGAGGACTGCCAGGCTCGTAGTCAAGCTAAGTGTGCCAAGTATGTATCTCTTCTATTTGGACTGGCTTTTGTCTTTGAGAAGTGTATGTATGTATGTGTGTATTTTGAGACGGAGTCTCACTCTGTTGCCCAGGCTGGAGTGGAGTGGTATGATTTTAGCTCACTGCAACCTCTGCCTCCCGGGTTCAAGTGATTCTCCTGCCTCAGCCTCACAAGTAGCTGGGATCACAGGCACCTACCACCACACCCGGCTAATTTTTGTATTTTTAGTAGAGAGAGGATTTCACCATGTTGGCCAGGCTGGTCTCAAACTCCTTACCTCAGGTGATCCACCCGCCTCAGCCCCCCCAAAGTGCTGGGATTACAGGCGTAAGCCACCATGTCTGGACGTGCATTTGAGAAGTGCTTTTAGCTGTTCTGATGTTAAGTGAACCTCATTCTCAAGTAGAAATCCACATATACCACTGACATGATATAATTGAGTATTTTGTAAATGGCACTCAGTTGCTTTGGAGTCAGAGACAAAAGGTGTTTGTTAATGGATTGTACGGAGGTGATCAAGCAAGAGCTGACACTGTTGAGACATTTCACAACCCCACCTTGACTTGCTGTGGTTGAATGCAAGTATTTTCTGAACTAAAAGATGAATGTTGGTGCCTTTACATTGTAATTTGAAGTCCTTGTTTACCAAACTACTTTATAACTCCTTTCAAATTCAAAGTATTTTGTGGAAAGGTAGATTCCCTCTTTACCCTCTCTTTTAACATTCAACTAAGCAATTCCACAAGTGTTTATGGAGCATAGTATATAGGCAGTGATGGGTTAAAAGTTTGTTTTGTAAAGTGCTTTTCATTGTTAGATTGCATACAGATGAAGAACGTGAAAAAAATGGATCCGAAGAAGATGATGATGAGAAACCAGGAAAACGTGTCATAGGACCAAGAAAGAAATTCCACTGGGATGATACCATCAGGTAAGATTTAATTAGTTTTCACTTTTAATGTATAATGCAAAAGTAAGATTCCTCATTTAAAAAAAAAAAAAACTCTATAATAAATATAAAACTAGATTGGAAGCAACCAAAGATTAGTGTGTAGGAAAAAATTATTCAAGAGAAGATTAACTGGGTTCTACTATCCTCAGAGTATTATTGATTTTATTTTCATATACACTGTAATACTTTTTATAAACTAATCTAATAATGGAGTAAGTCATACTGGTTTCAGTAGGTGAAGTACTTTCAACATATTTCTTCTTGAGCCATCTTTCTCAATAGTATTTCTGTACCCCAAGTAGAGAACCATCCCTTTCAATCTTTGGTGCTTTGATTAAAGATATCAAAGGAAATTGTTTCATATTGGGGGTTTGACTGTGTTGCAATGAATGATATATGTTAGAAATTGTTATTTTCTGAATTTTTCACATAATCTGTATTATTGCTGCCAAATTTATGCTCTTCTAAAAAAAGTTTCAAATTTAATTTTCAATCTGTTTAGAACTTTGTTATGTAACCTTGTTGAGATCAAATTGGGATGCTATGAGTTAGAACCAAATAAAAGCCAGTCTGCTGAAGATTATCTTAAGTCTTTTATGGAGACAGAGGTGAAGCCCCTGTGGCCTAAGGGCTGGATGCAGGCAAGGTAAGAAATGCAACTTACTGGATTTTATTTAATTTTATTATTATTGCTGTTATTAAAGATATACATACACATACATGACATTGATTTTGCTAAGAACCTAATGTATTCAGCATGCTGTATAGTCATCTCAGATGATCCTTGCTTTGAAGACCTTAAGCACTTAAATGACAAAAGAGTCGTGCATACACAGAGATAGATGTAAAGGTGATGTTTTACTTAACATTTTTTTTAACACCCAAATTTGCTAGTAGAGAAAAAGAGAGAAGACTCCCAAATGGTTATGAAGTTTGGGAGAGGAACTTCATATGGGTAACATGAAGATAAGGAACCAAATACGGGATTAGAGCATAAGCAAAGAGACATAGCCTTAGGTTCTATTGAAAATAGTCATCGTAGAGGCCGGGCGCGGTAGCTTATGCCTGTAATCCCAGCACTTTGAGGGGCCAAGGCAGGCAGATCACCTGAGGTCAGGAGTTCAAGACCAGCCTGACCAACATGAAGAAACCTCGTCTCTACTAAAAATACAAAATTAGCCAGGGTGGTGGCGCATGCTTGTAATCCTAGCTACTTGGAGGCTGAGGCAGGAGAATCGCTTGAACCCAGGAGGTAGAGGTTGCAGTGAGCCTAGATCGCACCATTGCACTCCAACCTGGGCAACAAGAGTGAAACTCCATCTCAAAAAAAAAAAAAGAGAAAAGAAAATAGTCATTGTAGGCCAGGTTCCCAGTGGGTCACACCTGTAATCTCAGCAGTTTGGAAGGCCAAGGTGAGAGGATTACTTTGAGCCCCAGGAGTTTGAGAACAGTTTCAAAAAATAAGTAAATAAATAAAATATTCAGTGTAGAGAAGTATCTCAAGAAACTAAGAGTCACTCTGTTTAAAATCTCAAGGGTTGGCCGGGCGTGGTGGCTCAAGCCTATAATCCCAGCACTTTGGGAGGCCGAGACGGGCGGATCACAAGGTCAGGAGATTGAGAGCATCCTGGCTAACACGGTGAAACCCCGTCTCTACTAAAATATACAGAAAATTAGCTGGGTGAGGTGGCGGGTGCTTGTAGTCCCAGCTACTTGGGAGGCTGAGGCAGGAGAATGGCATAAACCCGGGAGTTAGAGCTTGCAGTGAGTTGAGATCTGGCCACTGCACTCCAGCCTGGGCAACAGAGCGAGACTCCGTCTCAAAAAAAGAAAAATCTCAAGGATTAAGTAAAGAATGTCGCCTGTTGCAGTGGCTCACACCTGTAATTGCAGCACTTTGGGAGGCCGAGGCAGGTGGATCACCTGAGGTCAGGAGTTCGAGACCAGCCTGGCCAACATGGTGAAACCCTGTATCTACTAAAAATACAAAAATTAGCTGGGCGTAATGGTGGGCACTTGTAGTCCCAGCTACTCAGGAGGCTGAAGCAGGAGAATCACTTGAACCTGGGAGGCAGATGTTACAGTGAGCCAAGATTGCGCCGTTGCACTCCACCTGGGCAACAAGAGCAAAACTCTGTCTCAAAAAAAAGAGTTAAGTAAAGAATGTAAAAATTAAATTTGGCTAGTTCTACCCATGATCTTAAATTACTCCATCTTACATCAACAGAAAAGATCTGTTGACCAGGTGTGGTAGCTCACCCCTGTATTCTCAGCACTTTAGGAGGCACAGGGCCACGGTGTGAGGATTGCTTGAGGCCAGGGGTTTAAGACCAGCCCGGGCAACATAGTGAGATCTCTGACTCTGCAAAAAGTTTTAAAAATTAGCTGGGCATGGTGGCACACACCTGTAATTCCAACTTCTTTGAAGGCTGAGTTAGGAGGACCATTTGAGCCCAGAAGGCCTAGGTTACAGTGAGCTATGAATAAAACTCTCCATAAAATAGATTATTGAGTATACTGTACCATTATAACTTTTACCTGGTAAATAAGCAAGTAATAGTCTGTTGAAAATTAAATTACTTTAAAAATAAAACAATTATGTTATTGTCTGCTATAAAAAAATAATAATTGTGTTCTTTAAATTTTTCCAGAATGCTTTTTAAGGAAAGCCGGAGTGTTCATAATCATCTTACTTCTGCTCCGTGAGTAAATACAGACTCCAGATTGCTTCATTTATTCACATTATGTGCTTTAGTGAACAAAAGTATCATTTATTAAATGCTAGTTGGAATAGGACTTAAAAAGATCATTTTGACCATTGACTATTTAGATTTCAGAACACATTTATCTATTGAAATAATTGTCAGGCTACTCTCTAAACAACCTACTAAATGCATAGTGTGACACATAATGGCCTGGGATTCTGGTAGTAGGGAAGCGTGAAGGGTCAGGGGTTTTCCTTTGTTCGTGGGCCTTCTACCTGCCAGTCTTTTTCTCCACCTCTTAACGTCTATCTGCATTTGTAATCCACAGCCCTCTGCTGTCTTGAGTGTACCAGGACAGATCCATATGCACACCCACCCTTGCTGTGCTGCAGAGTGTTTTCCACAAAATTCACCAACTCTTGAGGTCTTTCCTTCTGTTCAAAACCGGGTATTTCCTTAGTGATGTGATTACTAGAGAAAGATCTTTTATCTTACCCATATAAAACAAAAAGGCAAGTTTTTTCTGTGGTCACCTTTTTGGTTGACTATTGGTCAATTCCAGAACAGTTTTATTTTTCCCTACAACTTAGGGCACCTTCTCTGTAGCCTGCAAGGGTGGCATTAAGGGTTAAAACCTGGCAGAGTGGCTCACGCCTGTAATCCCAGCACTTTGGGAGGCCGAGGTGGGTGGATTGCTTGCCCAGGAGTTAGAGACTGGCTTGGGCAACATGGCAAAACTCCTTCTCTACAAAAAATACAAAACTTAGCCAGGCATGGTGGTATGTGCCTGTAGTCCCAGCTACCCAGGAGGCTGAGGTAGGAGGATGGCTTACGCCAGCCAGGGAGGTGGAGGTTGTAATAGTGGAGATCATGCCACTGCCCTCCAGCCTGGGGGACAAAGCAGACCTTGTTTCTAGGGAAAAAAAGGGGGTTATTAAAATATAAAATTAGCAAGTTACTGAGAATTTACTGAACACTCTAATTCGATATTCTGCTGAGAGGTCTGTTTAACATCTTTTGGGCAACATTATAAAATTCCTACTCTCCTTGTATGCAATTATATAGGAATTTTTTAGTTTTTAGGAAGGACATTTCATTATTACAGTTGACCCTTGGAACAACACAGGAGTTAGGGATTTCACCCCCTCACCCCACACAGACAAAAATCCACGTGTAACTTTCAACTCTCCCAGAACTTCACTGCTGATAGCCTACTGTTGACCCGAAGCCTTACTGATAACATAAATAGTTCATGAACACATTTTGTATATTTTATGTACCATATACTGTATTCTTAACAATGAAGTAAGCTAGAGAAAAGAAAATGTTAATAAGAAAATCATAAATATTTACTGTTCATTAAGTGGAAGCGAATCATCATAAAGGTCTTCATCCTCAGGAGTCAACTGTATATCATCAGGGATGTATTGAGTTGGTTGTGGTTTTTGGTTCTTAGTGTTTTTTTAGTATAAGTTCTAAGTAGTTTGGTTTCATATATTATAGGCTTGCTTGTTGCAAGTGTTTTTGTTGTCTTTGAAACAAATTTTATATACATATGTATATGTTTGTGTCAGTAGTATTTTTGGCTTTAATTTCCCTGTACAGTAGTCCCCCTTATCCTCAGACAATATACTCCAAGATGCCTGCAGTGGATGCCAAAACTGCAGACAGTACTGAACCCTACATAGACTATTTTTTCCTATACAGACATTCCTATGATAGATTTGAGTTTACAAATTGGGCGCAGTAAGAGATTGACAACAACAATAATGAAAGAGAACAGTTTAACAATATACTATAATAAAAGTTATGTGAATGTGGTTTCTCTCTATTTCTGGAATTTTCCATTTAATATTTTCAGACCTCAGTTGACCACAGGCAACTGAAACCGCAGAAATTGAAAACTGTGGATAAGGGGGTGCTACTATAGTTCCAAAGCCATATATGCATTACAATTCAGGTACAAATAATGCATTCCTTTAATTCTAAAGGTGTTTACAAAAGATGTCTCCCTCTCTGTCTTTTTTTTTTTTTTTTTTTTGAGATGGAGTCTTGCTCTGTCACCCAAGCTGGAGTGCAGTGGAACAATCTCAACTCACTGCAACCTCCATCTCCCAGGTTCAAGCAATTCTTCTGCCTCAGCCTCCCGAGTAGCTGGGACTACGGGCGTGCGCCACCACACCTGGCTAATTTTTGTATTTTTAGTAGAGACGGGGTTTCACCATGTTGGCCAGGCTGGTCTCAAACTCCTGGCCTCACATGATCTGCCTGCCTCAGCCCAAAGTGCTAGGATTATAGGCTTGAGCCACTGCACCCAGCCTCCTTCTCCCTTTTTTTTAAATATCTTCATTATTATCATTAACTTTGTGTTTTGTTTAACTTTGTGTTTTGTTTTGTACTGTAAAGTAGGAATCTATGGGATAAGTGGGCCTAAAGGTCGTTTCCCTAAATGGCCTTCATCAAAAAAAACTTAGAAAATTACTGTTGCCTAAATGAAGTTGTAAGTTGACAGTTTTAATCAAGATTCTTGTTAATCTAGTTAGTGACATTTTAGCCAAGTGAAGTAGACAAGGTGAAGTATTTTAGCTTGTCAACACTTATTCAACAAACATTTGAATACTTTGACTTACTATGGAACTCGTTAGTTTTTTTTAATCTTTGAACTTTTTCATAGTTTTCCAAAACTTCCAAGATTCCATAGTAATTTTTCTTGCCCTTTTTGTCCCTGTCATTTTGACATTTTTTATTTGAATTTTTACATTACAAAAATTTTTCTTTAAAAGCTCAGGGGTTTTTTTGTTTTGGTTAAGTTAAATCTCATTCACACTTTTTTTGCATGGTTTAATTTGAGCCTGAAGTTCCTTGAAGCTCTTTTAGGAGGGGGGTTGTTTTACAGTTTATGTATTTACATTTAATTTTTAGAAAATTGTATTATCTACATTTCATGTTTTACTGGTTGTTTGGCCTTTCAGTTAATCTGAATTGGGGAAAATGTTGCTACATACTTAGTATAAACTGAGCACTTAAATATGGTTCCTTCAAAGAGCTTTCCAAATAGCCGAAGGAATTATTTACCACATAATTACAAAGCTATTTATTATAACTTTCTAATGAGCAATATAACTGCTACTGAAATAGCCTTTTAAAATCATTTTATCTTAGGGCAAAGAAAAAGGTGATTCCTGCACCTAAACCCAAAGTAAAGGTAAGTATTAAAACAAAATCTTTAATTAGTTATAGTTGGTGAATGTGAAATACATTCCTAAGATGAAAAAGATTTTTGGTATTTAGCAGAGGTCAGTAGGCACTATAAGATAGGTGTTTTCAACTTCATAATAATCTTAGAACTTTTGTATTTGGGAGAATAGATTCCTGTGTAGCAGTGGGAAATATGCATATGCCAATTATAAAGCTTAACTTTATTAATACTTGGAAATGCTAGGTAAACTATAACAAATATTCTTTCATAGCACAGCTGAGATTGAAAATATGTAAGAAAAATTCCTAAGACCAAAAACAAAAAAGGAGCTGACTGTTAATCTGTCGCTTAAATTTTGGTTACTCTTGGAGGCATTTGGCACTTTCTACCCATCACTTTATGGTTTCTTTTTATGTTTCTTCTCAGAGCATAGCAGTTAGGGTTTTCTTGGGCTTGTACAGGTTAAAACTTGGGATGAAATCTGTGTAAAGGTGGACCTTCAAACTATAACGTATTTAGTAAAAGAAAGGACTAGAAAAAATTCCAGCCACCAGCAGAAGACATTAAGAAAAGTGGCTGTTGGCCGGGCGCAGTGGCTCACGCCTGTAATCCCACCAATTTGGGAGGCCGAGGCGGGCGGATCACGAGGTCAAGAGATCGAGACCATCCTAGCTAACACGGTGAAACCCCGTCTCTACTAAAAATACAAAAAACTAGCCGGGCGAGGTGGCGGGCGCCTGTAGTCCCGGCTCCTTGGGAGGCTGAGGCAGGAGAATGGCGGGAACTCGGGAGGCGGAGCTTGCAGTGAGCCGAGATTGCGCCACTGCACTCCAGCCTGGGAGACAGAGCCAGACTCCGCCTCAAAAAAAAAAAAAAAAAAAAAGAAAAGTGGCTGTCTTGGACTGGGTTCTGGTTTGGAGGAAGAATGTCCTTGCTGAAAATTTTTCTTGGCTTAGGAGTTTAAGTTACACTACCTCTACAATCTGAGAAAACCCCAAGCGGAAAAAGTAACTTAGTTATTGGATTAGTAGTAACCCAGGGCCTCTGGCAAAAGTAAATTATCTGTGGTATAATGTGCCCTCTTCAGAGGCCTCAAAGGCCCTCCTCCTATAAACCATGTCAGACCTGAACTTACAGTCTGAAATACAGAATACATGAGAGGATAAGTTACTATGAGTGAGAGTCAGTAGGAACAATAAACAACGGTTAGATCCCTAAGACAGACAAGTAGTGCATTTATGGAATTTAGTACATAAAATAATTTTACTTAAAATTTTTTAATATTTAGAGAAATAGAAAAGGGAATAAAAGATATCCTATCAAAATAGACAAAGTAGATTTGAAAGAGAATCAAAATATAACCTCTAGAAGTAAAAACTATAATCATTTGAAATTAAAATTTTAATGAAAGCCCATACCCTTTAGGTTTTACACTTTGCTCTGTAGCCTTTGTCTCTTTGGTTTTTTGTTGTTGTTGTTTTTAATAGATGAGTTTCTTTGCTTGTAAGATTGTGTCCAGATGGTCAATATTTATTATTCTGTGGCTTTCCTGACTTTTTTGGTGTTAGAGCCTCTTCAAATGCAGGGTAAATAGTCTTCTTTTTCTTTTTTCTTTCTTTTTTTTTTTTTTTGAGACAGTCTTGCCATGTCACCCAGGCTGGAGTACAGTGGTGCGGTGCAATCTCCGCTTACTGCAACCTCCACCTCCCAGGTTCAAGCAATTCTCCTGCCTCAGCCTCCTGAGTAGCTGGGATTACAGGCGCGTACCACCACCTAATTTTTGTATTTTTAGTAGAGACAGGGTTTCACCATGTTGGTCAGGCTGGTCTCAAACTCCTGACCTCGTGATCCACCTGCCTTGGCTTCCCAAAGTGCTGGGATTTCAGGCGTGAGCCACCGTGCCCAGCCAATAGTCCTCTTTTTCTTAATAACCTACTACTTTGTCTTCTGATCCAAATAATATTGAGCCAATCTTTCATTAAATCTCTTGAGTTTGGACTTTGTTTTGACACTTCACTTTATTTTTATTAGAATACTAAAGTTTTAATAACCTCCATAAAGGATTGGTTACATTTTGATACATCTGTTCAAACATATGATTAATAGAATAATTGGATAGGAAATTTATTTTTTTTATTTTTATTTTATTTTTATTTATTTATTTTTTGAGACGGAGTCTTGCTCTGTAGCCCGGGCTGGAGTGCAGTGGCCGGATCTCAGCTCACTGCAAGCTCCGCCTCCCGGGTTCACGCCATTCTCCTGCCTCAGCCTCCGGAGTAGCTGGGACTACAGGCGCCCGCCACCTCGCCCGGCTAGTTTTTTGTATTTTTAGTAGAGACGGGGTTTCACCGTGTTAGCCAGGATGGTCTCGATCTCCTGACCTCGTGATCCACCCGTCTCGGCCTCCCTAAGTGCTGGGATTACAGGCTTGAGCCACCGCGCCCGGCCAGGAAATTTATTAAATTCTAACACTGGATGTGTTAGAATGATATGGGGGAGTCATCAGTTTTTTTGTTTGTTTCCTTCTCTATGGTTAAATTACTTTTTCCTTTTCCCAAAATGGAAAAGCTATATTGTTGATGTGGTTTTTTTCCTACTGTAACTCCCCATACTATTTCTAGTTATAAAGGTTAAGATAAGGAAATGCCTATAATAGAAAATGTAAATAACACAGAAAAGTAAGGAGAAAAGTAAAAGTACCTATAAATTTCTCCTCAGTGAGAGAATAAAAGCTCTTGGCTTTCTAGAACACATCTTCCTTCCCTTCTTCTGAAACTCTGTTCTTCCCTCCCTCCCTTCCATTCATCCATCCATCCATCTATCCAATTAGCTATCCATTTAGTCTTTTATATAAATGGGACAGCCTGCTTTTTTGACTCAGTTATATATCCTGAACAATTCTCTGCCAGTATAAATCTACACAGTATTCTATTAGAGTGCATTTAATGTTTTTATAAATAAAAATTAATAATCAAAAAGTCACTTTAAAACAGCAGTTTTATACTCGTAATACTTCCAACATTTGGATACATTTCCCACCCTTTATTTTGTACTTTTTATAATGGTATTTTCACTAATTACATAAGTGGATGGCATATCAAAACAAATGTGTCTCATTTGTATTACCTATTCTTCTTAGCAGACATTTGTGACCTTAATGTAGTACACTTGTACTTCCAATAGGCAGTGAGGTTTTTAATCAGGGGTTTTAGAATAAAAGCTTAGAAAAAAATACTAAGGAAGTTAGAGTGTAACAGTATTCTTAACAGCTTGCTTATGTAATACCTTAGGAGGTGATGGTAAAGACCCTTCCTCTCCATTCTTTCCCCACTATGCTTAAGGTAAGTGCTATGGTTGTATAAATCAGTATATAATATAACACTCTAGGTTTATTTGGGTTTGTTTAAGAAACTAATTGAGGAGACTTTTATATGACTTTTATGTAATAGGTTTTTGCTTCTCAATCTTAATAAAATGAGTCAAATACTTTATCTTTAAAAATAAATAGATGCTTTTTAATTATTTTGCTCTTTGAATATTGTAAACCGTGCTCTAGTTATTTTCCTTAAATATTAAGAAGGTTGATTCTTTGAGAAACAGACTCTAACAACTCTTAGGTATTCAGAGTTGTAATTCTTAATACTCTTGTTTTCTTAGCATAGAGCCCTGCTCACAGCGGACACTTAACGGATATATATTGAATAAATGACAAATGAATAATTTACAAATAAATTACAGATTCACCATAACAGATAGCATAATTTATATATGCTTGGATTGAACCGTCTGCCACTTTCACGTACCAGTTTTTCTATGTACTGGCTGTAGGGTAGCTGCAGGACAGGGCATACAAAGAGGCAGAAATGCATGGAAGCAGAAAGTGAAGGTCAGCCTCCTAGCAAACCATCCCAGACGAGAAGGGGAGAGTCTTAATATAAAGGCAGAATTTCTCCTGAGTGCAGGGGAATAAAAAGAGAATAATCTGAACAGATGGATTTGGAGCAGGATGTGAAGATCTGATGCAGGTGAGGGAGGCTCATCAGTAATGTTACTAGTATATGAATGTTCCTTCCACTTGGTGTTAAGCTTACCAAGGTATGACAGCTGTGTGCAATATATCAGATACTTTGTCTTGTGAGGACAGCTCAGTCAGGAGCTCTGTCATCTCAAAAATTATTTTTGTTTTGATAGTCTCTAAACATTTCCAGTAGAAAAACAATTTTAATTGTCATGAAAATCTCTTATTTAAAATTAACTTTGTAATTTTTTATTCACCATTTCTATTTTTTTCATATGATGCTTTACATTAGGAGTATAGTCCAAAAAAGGACCAGAAAACTCCGGCATCCCTGGTGGCTTCGGTTAGCGGTCCTCCAACGAGCTCCAGCACAACTGCTGTTGCTGCAGCCAGCTCTAGCTCTGCACCAGCCCAAGAAACCATCTGCCTCGACGACTCACTAGATGAAGACCTTTCTTTCCATTCACCTTCACTGGATCTTGTTTCTGAAGCTTTAGCGGTTATCAACAGTGGGAACAAGGGCCCTCCTGTTAGCTCAAGGATAAGCATGCCAACCACAAAGCCTCGTCCAGGACTGAGAGAAGAAAAATTAGCTAGTATCATGAGTAAGCTGCCACTGGCTACTCCCAAAAAACTAGATTCTACTCAGCCTACACATTCTTCAAGTCTTATTGCTGGTCACACAGGGCCAGTACCAAAGAAACCCCAGGATTTAGCTCATACTGGCATCTCTTCAGGCCTTATTGCTGGTTCTTCCATTCAGAACCCTAAAGTTTCTTTAGAACCTTTGCCAGCCAGGCTACTTCAACAAGGACTTCAGAGGTCAAGCCAGATTCACACTTCTTCCTCTTCACAGACCCACGTCTCCTCTTCTTCCCAAGCCCAAATTGCTGCCTCTTCTCATGCTCTGGGAACATCCGAGGCCCAAGATGCTTCTTCATTAACACAAGTAACAAAGGTGCACCAGCATTCAGCTGTCCAGCAGAACTATGTGTCTCCATTACAGGCCACCATCAGTAAATCCCAGACCAACCCTGTGGTGAAGTTAAGTAATAATCCCCAACTCTCCTGTCCCTCCTCGCTTATTAAGACTTCAGATAAGCCACTTATGTACCGCCTTCCTTTATCTACCCCCTCACCTGGAAATGGTTCTCAAGGGTCCCACCCCCTGGTTTCTAGGACAGTACCTAGCACCACTACCTCCAGTAACTATTTAGCCAAGGCTATGGTGTCACAGATCTCCACGCAGGGTTTCAAATCTCCCTTCTCAATGGCTGCCTCCCCAAAACTTGCCTCATCTCCCAAGCCTGCCACATCTCCTAAACCCCTGCCCTCGCCTAAGCCTTCTGCCTCACCCAAGCCCTCTCTGTCAGCTAAGCCTTCAGTATCAACTAAACTTATTTCTAAATCCAACCCGACTCCCAAGCCTACTGTATCCCCAAGTAGTTCCAGTCCAAATGCACTAGTAGCCCAGAGTAGCCACTCCAGCACTAACAACCCGGTCCATAAACAGCCCAGTGGAATGAACATCAGCAGACAGTCTCCCACCTTGAATTTATTGCCCTCTAATCGCACTTCAGGCCTTCCATCTACAAAAAATCTTCAGGCCCCCTCAAAGCTAACAAACTCATCATCCACTGGAACTGTTGGGAAGAATAGCTTGAGTGGAATTGCAATGAATGTACCTGCCAGCAGAGGTAGCAACCTTAACTCAAGCGGAGCTAATAGGACTAGTCTATCTGGGGGAACAGGAAGTGGAACACAGGGTGCTACCAAACCATTGTCTACTCCACATAGACCATCCACTGCCTCAGGGTCTTCAGTGGTAACAGCCAGTGTGCAGGTATGTATGTTCTGTACATCCATGTGATAAACTGTAAGATTGCATAGTGTTATCTTTCTTGTGGGTAACTTTAATAAGCTTTTTATGATATGTGGATTGTTCTCAATAGGCTTATTACAGCCTGTGGCCATGGAATATTCCTCATGCTGACATCATAGTGGTAGGCACACTTGTAGATGAGGTGTTTGTTGGGATGTGGATTTTTTTTCTTTAAACAAAATAACAAAGGTGCACCAGCATTCAGCTGTCCAACAGAACGATGTCTTCGTTACAAGCAACCATCACTAAATCAACTTTAAAATTATTTGAAAAAGCACAACTAAAATGCGTATTTCAAACTTATCAAAATTCAGAACAAAGTAGTAACTTAGGAATTTAACATTCACTTAGCTCTTCCCTTCCTTTTTTCTCCTGCCAGCTTTCTTATTTTTAAATCAAATTTTTACATTCCTGTTATTTTTTAATCATTTATCTTCTCAAAATTTTTATTTTGCATTAATTTTATAGTGCTATATAATTTTCTGTGTCAAATTACTGTCAGTTGTCCTTTTATTCCACAGTTTTCCCATTCATGAATTTTTAGTTTAAACTTATCTCTCAATTAGCTGAGTGCCTCACTCAAGCAATCTTTTTAAGAAGGGTAGCCTGGCGTGGTGGCTCATGCCTCTAATCCCAGCACTTTGGGAGGCCAAGGCAGGAGGAACACTTGAGGTCAGGAGTTCAAGACCAACCTGGCCAACATGGTGAAACCCTGGCTACTAAAAATACAAAAAAATTAGCCACGCATGGTGACGCATGCCTGTAGTCCCAGCTGTTTGGGAGGCCGAGGCTGGAGAGTCGCTTGAACCCAGGAGGCAGAGGTTGCAGTGAATGATATCACGCCATTGCACTCCAGCCTGGGTGACAGAGCGAAACTCCATCTCAAAAAAAAAAGTAGTAATAAATTTTAGAAAGGGTAGCATGAATGCTGTTTTACCTTAGCTCATGTGCACCTGGTAATTTCTTTCTGTGCTGTCACACTTGAGTAGGCATAACCTTCTTGGGGCACTAACTGTTCCACTTCAAATTTTGTAAATACTCTTCCACTGACTCTTGCTTAGTATTTAGGATTATGGAGAAGTCTGAGACCATTCTCAGACTCTTTCTCATTCTCCTTTTGTTCCCTTATCATTAATGTGTTTTCTCTGCCTAGTTTTCATTAGTTGTATACCTAGAACATAATAATAGCATTCCATCTCAGACCTGGTTATTTATTTTAGATCAAGAATATTTTATTGTATTATGTGTCTGATTACTGTTTCTGATTCATTTATCATAAGTTTTTTGAGAACTCTTTATTATATTTATTTATTTATTTATTTATTTATTTATTTTTCCCTGAGATGGAGTCTCGCTCTGTTGTACAGGCTACAGGGCAGTGACGCAATCTTGGCTCACTGCAACCTCCGCTTCTTGGGTTCAAGAGATTCTCCTGCCTCAGGCTCCCGAGTAGCTGGAATTACAGGCACCTGCCACCATGCCTGGCTAATTTTTGTATGTTTATTTATTGTTATTTTTTGAGACCAAGTCTCCTCTGTCGCCCAAGCTGGAGTGCAATGGTGTGATCTCGGTGCACTGCAACCTCCACCTCTCGGGTTCAAACAGTTCTTCCTACCTCAGCGTCCTGAGTAGCTGGGATTATAGGCACCCACCACCGTGCATAGAGACAGTATTTTGCCATGTTGGCCAGGCTGGTCTTGAACTCCTGACCTCAAGTGATCCACCCACCTCGGCCTCCCAAACTGCTGGGATTACAGGCGTGAGCCACCACACTCGGCCTAACTTTTATATTTTTAGTAGAGTTGGAGTTTCACCATGTTGACTGGGCTGGTCTCAAACTCCTAACCTCAAGTGTTCCACCTGCCTCGGCCTCCCAAAGTGCTGGGATGATAGGCATGAGCCACCACACCCAGCCTATGTTTCGTCTCTCTGTCTTCCATATCATCTTCTGTTACTGTTTTACTCTCTCTGCCACTTCTTTGTATTCTGACACTTTCTCAGATTTGTCCTTTATGTTAATGGTTTAGATTCTTTAACTTTTTTCCCCCTGAAAGTAATATGTGTTCATTGAAGTCAAATTTAGAAAAAAGAAAATAAAAATCACCTATTAATCCAACACTGTTTATGCTGTATAGGTACTTTTTAAGACTTTTTTCGATAAAATGTGTTTTATATATTTCATTTTATAACTGGCCAAAAAAAAAAAAATACCATTTTATGATATGCAGGTTCTTAGGTTCTTAAATATTCTTTGAAAACATAACTTTTATTGATTTATGGAATTGTGTTGTCTAAGGAAGTACTCTCTGTACTGCCTCCTATTTATGTGGAACAGCAACATCTAATGAGAAGAGTTTCCCCTTGCTGTATGTCAAGGTTTACTGCTGTTCAATACAGTCTAAGGGTTGATACTCAATATACATTGCATACATTCAGTATACGTATATTCACATCATCATTCTGCCACTGATGTAGGCATAGGAATGACTAGATGTCAGAATTCTAATGTAGAACAAATTCAGCTAACTGGTAATTCATTAATTGAAATCTAGGATTAACTGATGTTTTATGTATGTACATTTACTTTCATCAGAAATAAAATAATAAAAACAAATTGATATTAGGGATTATATGTTAAAATGTATATGGAGATGAATGAATAAAGGCCTTCCCTTATGAAAAAAAAGTATGTGGAAGATTGGAGTTAGTCTGCATTACTGTCTATATTATCTTTATTAAAAAGTTTACTCTTGTTAAGATTCTTAATTTGATCAAAGGAATAAGTGAAAAGATAGCATAAATGGTAGTTCCCTGCCCCATATCCTCCTCCTAGGGTTAACTACTTTTAACCCTTTCAGCATTTTCTTCTTTGTGTTTTTAAATAAGAATAATAAATGGAAAACTCTTAATTTTATCAATTTTATAAAAATTTGGGGAGTTATTTCTGGAATTAAAAATTCCTTTTTATTTTCATTTGCTTCATTTTCTTTGAACTTAAGATTAAATCTTTCTTCATCCTTTGTCATCTCTACAATCTGTCAGTTCTATTTTGTTCCCAAAGATCTTCCTGTATTTGATCATTTATCGCAAAAGAACCCCTGTATCGTCTAACAAATAATTGGTTTGTCAGCATGGAGGCTACTTGGCAAAATATGCATTTCTGAAGACTAGCTACTCCCTCCTGGTTTTCTTCCTCTCCCAAATGGCTTTATGATTTGGAGATTGAAGTGTTCCTGTCTTCATATCTGATCTTTTTTTCTTTTTTCTGTCTTACTGGTTTGACTGAAGAAAAGTTTAATAATTCATTAAGGTCATTTCTACCCCTTGACGAAACTAAAGTTCTTTTTGTTTTAACATAGCATCTCAGTGAAGTCTTACCAACTATCTTGTGGCCTCTAGAACCTGTCTGTAGCTCTCCAGTACTGAAAACAGATTTCCTATCTATGCGTGTAAAGCATTCACCTTCTGTCTGAAAGGCATCTGTGGGTGTCTACTCATTTGCAGAGTGAAAATGACAGGTCCTTTAACAAATGGCAAAAGGTAAACTCCTGGGTTCAGGTTGTTAGCTCTGCTTGCTTTCTATTTAATAACTTTCCACACAGGGGTTTCCTCCTGTTTCTTACCCTTCAGTTTACTGATTTTCTTTGAATCTTGTCTTTGCCACTTTATAATTCCAAACATCATTCATTCATTAAGCAAATGTTTATTGAGTGTTTACTATGTGCCAGGCACTCTTCTAGGTGCTGGGGAAATAGGGATGAACAGCATACTCAGCATTCCTGCTCTCGTGGAGCATATAGTCTATGTAGGAAGACAAGCAAAAATACAAGTTTTATGAAAAAATAAAATTTGTAGGATAATATGATAAAGAGTTATTGCTGCCAGCATAAAGAAGGTGAAGAAGGTTTGAGGAGGTAACATTTGATCTGAGAATTGAATGAGCAGAACCCAGCCATGTGGAGAAAAGGGGAAAAATAATTCAGGCCAGAGGGAACAATTGTATGAAGACACTGAGATGGAAAAGAGCCTGAAGTGAAGGCCTGCATGTCTGGACCATGGAGAGAGAGTGGTAGGTGATGAGATCAGAGAGAGACCAGAACCATGTCATGGAGGACCTTGTGAGCCGCAGTAAGGACTTTGGATTTTATTCTCTGTGCAGTGGGAAGCTATTGGAGTTTCTTAAACAGGGGACTGGTATGGTCTGATTTGCACTTCAAAAGGTTACTCTGAGTGTTGTGGGAAATAGGGGATCAGTGCACTCTTGGGTAGAGTATGTGGTTTAAAAAAAATTTAATTGCAGCCAGTCGCAGTGGTCACGCCTGTAATCCCAACACTTTGGGAGGCCGAGGTGGGTGGATCACAATGTCAGGAGAGCGAGGTCATCCTGGCCAACATGGGGAAACCCCGTCTCTACTAAAAATGCAAAAATTAGCTGGGTGTGGTGGCATGTGCCTGTAATCCCAGCTACTTGGGAGGCTGAGGCAGGAGAATCACTGGAATCTGGGAGTCGGAGGTTGCAGTGAGCTGAGATCGCGCCACTGCACTCCAGCCTGGCAACAGAGGGAGACACCATGTCAAAAAAAAAAAAAAAATTAATGACCACTACGGGAAGAGCAAGGTTTCCCTTCAATGTTTTTTCCCCTGGGAATAAAATGTAGAGGTCACGGAAACTATTTTTGACTATGGGGCATAATCCTGAACTATTTAGCTGCTTCATGTACATGATCCCAGATTATGTCAACATTGGAGTATCCCACTGCTGAAAGGTCTCCATCTTTTAGGTTAGAGAGATTTGCAAATACCTGTGTCACATTTAGATTATCTGATGCTTCCATTTATATTTATAAACAAAGTGGATATAGAAGTTACTTGAAAGTGTAAAATGTTAGGCAGTTATGGCATAGTATCACTTTTTTATTGTTATACTTGAGTTATTTAATTTTGGAAATTGCCCTGCCTAATTTACATCTTGCCTTTTTTTTTTTTTTTTAAGACAGGGTCTTGCTCTGTTGCCCAGGCTGGAGTGCAGTGGTGTGGTCTTGGCTCACTGCAGCCTCTGCCTCCAGGGTTCAAGCACTTCTCCTGCCTCAGCCTCCCAAGTACCTGGGATTACAGGCAAGTGCCACCATGCCCGGCTAATTTTTGTATTTTTAGTAGAGATGGTGTTTCACCATGTTGGCCTGGCTGGTCTTGAATTCCTGGCCTCAGGTGATTCACCCACCTCAGCCTCCCAAAGTGCTGAGATAATAGGAGTGAGCCATAGTGACTGGCCCTCATTTTGCATCTATTTTAATGCTTCAATTGCACTCCTCCAGAAAAGCTTTAAAAGATTCCTTTTATTAACAGTATTTAATGTTCCTCACTAGGGTACTCCAGTTGGGGCACACAGCCTTGGAGACTCTTTATCATTCCAAGACTGCAGTAGAATTATGATTAAAAGAAGAAGCAACTCTGGTTAATTTTTTTTTTTTCCCCAAGATAGGGTCTTGCTCTGTCATCTAGGCTAGAGTGCAGTGGCGCAATCTCAGCTCACCACAACCTCCGCCTCCCAGGTTCAAGCGGTTCTCCTGCCTCAGCCTCCCGAGTAGCTGGGACTACAGACCTGCGCCACCACACCTGGCTAATTTTTGTATTGTATTAATTAATTATTGTAATTTTGTATTTTTAGTAGAGACAGAGTTAGTAGAGACCACCATGTTAGTCAGGCTGGTCTCGAATTCCTGATCTCATGATCCGCCCACCTTGGCCTCCCAAAGTGCTAAGATTACAGGCGTGAGCCACTGCACTGGCCAACACTGGTTCATTTTTAAGTTGATGCGGGATCTTTTCTATCCTGGTTGCATTAAAATACTATTATCTCTAACTTGGTAATTTTTTTCCTAAATGCACCCACTTTGTATATCGTGGTTGGCACAGTACAGGAAAAGACTGGCAAATAAAAACTGTCAGGTTCAAACATGGAGTGGTGAAGGTTTGTACTTACGTGTAAGAGAAAATTTTGGCAAAAAAGAAAGAATGGGTTTGTTGACTATAATGTCATCATTTTATGATACCTGAAAACTAAGGTTTCAAGCCTAAGTGACTGGAAAGAATGGAATTCCCTGGTGAAAGCAGTTGACAGAAAATGGGGGAACCCATTGGAGAAGATGATTTCAGCTTTGGATATGTCAAGTTGGTGCTAGATATTCAAGCGGAATTATTCAGTTAACTCTCAGATATACAGGATGGAAACTGAGATGAGAGGCCGGAACTACGGATATAAATTTCAGTTGTAAAATTTGTTGTTTTTATTAACAAATAAAGGAGAACAGGGGAGGGAGGCAGTTAAAGAACCAGAAAGAAGGCCGCTTGTGGATATTCTTCATTTGTTTGTTCAGCAGTGGCATAACCTCTTAAGTGTATAAATATATGTAATGTTATGTGGCATGTGTGTGTGGAAAGATTGTCTGCATTTTTCTTATACATTAAGAAATACCCCACCAGCAGCAAAAGGACAAAGATTTTTAAAATAATAAGTCCTTAATTAATAATGCTTATTGATACACATAATAAAACTGGAAAGAGCTAACATTTATTATTTTTAAAATAGTCAACAAATTCCATTTTCCTGATCAAATTTAGATTTAGTGGGACACGGTGGCTCATGCCTATAATTCCAGCACTTTGGGAGGCCAAGGCAGGCAGATCACTTGAGCACAGGAGTTTGAGACCATCCTGGCCAACATGGTGAAACCCCATCTCTACTAAAAATACAAAAATTAACTGGGCATGGTGGCACATGCCTGTAGTCCCAGCTACTCAGGAGGCTGAGGCAGGAGAATTGCTTGAACCCAGGAGGTGGAGGTTGCAGTGAGCCAAGATCGCAGCACTACACTACAGCCTAGGCAACAGAGTGAGACTCCCGTCTCAAAAAAAAAAAACGGAAAACAAAAAAAAAATACAAAGTTAAAGTTTTGACCAGGAAAATTTGGATTTGGTAACATAAGACTACAAAAGAAATCTCAGAATGACAGAAACTATAATAGATAATATATGATAATGAGAAAATTTGATTGTGTCAACTCCCTGTTGGTAAGTAAGTGCACACAGAAAAGAAAAATGTTGGCCAGGCATAGTGGCTCATGCCTATAATCTCAGTGCTTTGGAAGGCCTAGGTGTGAGGATTGCTGGAGCCCAGGAGTTCAAAGCTAGCCTGAGCAACGTAGACCCTGTCTCTACAAAAACATTTTAAAAAGTTGCCTGGGTCTGGTGGCACACGCCTGTAGTCCCAGCTACTTGGGAGGCTGAGGTGGGAGGATCACTTGCACCTAGGAGTTTGAGTCTGCCACGAGCTACCATTGTTCCACTGCTCTCTAGCCTGGGGAACAGAGTGAAACCCCGTCTCTCAAAAAATAATAATCTTTTTAAAAAAAAATCAAAATGGAAAAAATGTAATTGTTGTGTAGAAAACTGTTCAAAGAGTTAAACTAGGTATAGGAATATATTTGCCAGGCATTCTGGCTCACGCTATAATTCTAGCACTTTGGGAGGCACAGGCAGTGAGGAGATCGCTTGAGCCCAGGAGTTCGAGCCCAGCCTGGGCAACATGGTGAAACCCTATGTATAATAAATACAAAAAATGTTAGCCAGGTATGGTGGCATGTGCCTGTAGTCTTAGCTACTTGGGAGGCTGAGGTGAGAGGATCACTTGAGCCTCCAGGAGGTTTGAGATGGCAGTTAGCTGTGATTGCACTGCTATACTCCAGCGTGGGCAACAGGAGACCCTGTCTCAAAAAGGGGGCGGAGTTTGGGCAGGGGGAATATATTTAAGTAAGTTCTCTGTGAAAGCCCATCCAGGTCAGCATATTTCTTATTTATTTTATTTTTTTAAAGTCCTCCCTGCAGTCCAAATATGTTAGCATATTTCTGATTTCAGTGTTTTTATTCGTCAACATGGCGTCAAAGCCCAGGTGGGGAGTGTGAAAACACTGTCCAGTTTATCTTTTACCTTAAGGAGTGTAATTTCAGAAAAGTAATAAAGAGAAAACCGCTTTCAGGAGTTAAGTGACTAGAACTAAGGAAACTGAAGTCTGTCATTCTGTTTGATAACAAAAGGAAGACAAATTAGATAGTGGCTAGGAGTCGAGGAAGAGCTAGAATAATGGCGTGGTTATAAAAAGAAATAATAAGTTTCTGTATCTGAGAAGGCAGAGGAAACATGGAAAAGGTGCAGTACTAGATATTTGTACAAGAAAGTTCTACACGGTGAGAATTCATGGTATAAGTCAGGTGGTTAGCTTTGGAGAAGGGCAGGTGAGGCTCATGGCGAGGAAGAATGCCTCAGCCTGGTCTCTCTCAGCTGATGTGATGACAGTAAAGGATACTGGGTAGGGCCCTGAAAGCAGCAGTCTAGAGCAGCCGCTGCAGGAAAGATGATGAGACAAACAGTAAAGTGGGCATTTTCAGAGACCCAGCCGAAATTGCATGGGATTGTTTACTCATGGTTCACGTATTTGGGCTAGGAGGCAAAAGTGGAGGAGTGTGAGTGTAAGGTTGGGAATTAGTAGATTGAGAGAGTGTGTGAGTGTTCATATAAGTGCCACTAAAATAACAGCGTCTGAGGAAACTACAGTGGTAATGAAGAGCCTGTCTCACAACGTTTCTGTCAGAGCAGATGTAAGGCATAGTCTTGCATCTGTGAGGATATTATAGAAAATAAATCAATTTGGATTACTTTATTTCTTACGTATTTTGACCCCTGGTTTCTGCACAGTCCACAGCAGGAGCATCATTATTGGCTAATGCCTCACCTCTGACTCTCATGACATCACCTTTGTCTGTAACAAATCAAAATGTGACTCCTTTTGGGATGCTGGGTGGCCTTGTTCCAGTGACCATGCCCTTCCCGTTTCCCTTGGAGATATTTGGCTTTGGAACGGACACAGCTGGAGTGACAACCACCTCGGGATCTACCTCAGCCGCTTTCCACCATAGCCTAACTCAGAGTAAGTGGGGCTCTTCTATTTGCTTGGGCTGTCTAGCTTGACAGAACAGGAAACCTTACAAATTTATTCTAATTAAGAGTAGTCCAGTTGGAGTTAATGAAGATTATAGTTTTTTCCTAAGAAATGCAGTTTATATATATATATAGTAAGTAAAATTATTGGACACCGGAGTTTTATATACAGTTTTTAAGCTATCTATACCACATTTCCATCTTAATGAAATTTTTAAGAGGAAGTCAGTTGTGTTGGGTTATGTGCATACACATACATTAAAATAAGTAAATTTTTAAAAACGTGCTCTAGTTTTAGAAGGCCTTTGAAGTCAGGTGCTGTGCCTGCATTACATAAATCAGTTTTCATTTTTGAACTAAAAGGGCTCCAATCTGGATTTAAAGATGACTGACAAGTCTGTTTTCCTCTCAGATTTACTCAAGGGTTTACAGCCAGGAGGAGCCCAGCATGCAGCAGCGCTTTCCCACTCACCTCTGCCTGCACACTCACAGCAAGCATTTCACGGTGAGAACGCCGTCTCCTTCGTCATCTCGTTCTTATTTGTATAGGCTTGTAGATACGGATTATACTTTTCTGAAAACATTGTGAATTGAATCACAAAGGCTGGAAAATGGAAATTTTCATAGACTGAATCCTCATTCCTCATTAGCAACAGATTCCTTTTAAGAGGAAGGAAATAGGTAAACGAGATCTTCTGTAACCTAAAAGCCTTTTTTAAGGTGTTTATTATGTGGAAATGATGACTAATGAGAGGATTCATAAGATGGTTAAAAGTTATGTACAGTAATGATAGTTGTTTACATTTATTGAAAGCTTACTAAATGCCACATAGTCTTGTGACAGCTTACATGGTTTAGCTTAGTCCTTAGATGACGGTCTCCATTTTACAGATCACGAAACTGAATCAGAGAGCTAAGCAACTTGCCCAAGATAATACACAACTTGCCCAGATAACAAATGCTTGATCTGAGATTCACACCCAGGAAGTCTGACTCCATGACCTGTATTCTTAGTCATTAAATGTCTCGACATTTTAGCAGAGATGAAATTAATATGATCCTGCCAGGCACAGTGGCTCACTCTTGTAATCCCAGCACTTTGGGAGGCCAAGGTGGGCAGGTCACTTGAGGTTGGGAGTTTCAAGACCAGCCTAGCCAATATGGTGAAACCCTGTCTCTACTAAAAATACAAAAATTACCTGGGCCTGGTAGCACGTGCCTGTAGTCCCAGCTACTCGGGAGGCTGAGGCAGGAGAATTGCTTGAACCCGGGAAGTGGAGGTTGCGGTGAGCCGAGATCACGCCACTGCACTCCAGCCTGGGCAACAGAGTAAGACTGTCTCAGAAAAGAAACATGAATATGATCCAAGCTGTATGCATTATGTCCTTGTAGGCAGCCAGATCGCTCTGAAATCTGACATTGGGCAGTCAGATTAGGCAGTGTACCAAGCACACTGGGCTCCAGCTTCTCGTTTTCCCCAGAAGTTGACCTCCATAGACGCTGATACTATTCTGAAGCCCATTTTCAGGATCTTTTGAGCAGAAATAACTGCTCAGCTGCCCTCTTAACTTTGGAAGTTGACTAGGCCTCACTTTTTTTTTTTTTTTTTTTTTTGGCCACTGAATCAAAATAAAAATGATCTTTGAACCAGTTTACATTAACCACAGTGCAGAGATGGGAACTGAGGAGCAATCTTGAGACAACAGATTGCCATTAATCCTCCGAAAGAACTAAGTGGTGAGCTGTCCCAGTCTTACCCTTAGAATGAGCATAAAACCAGTTATGTAAAATGGGTAACAGAGAGTCGTGGCACAAATGTCAGCAATCCCAATCTTCCTGAACTCTGACTAGTTTAAGTATCTAAAGAGAATTGCCCTGTGACTAAAGCAGTTCCTCCCTGGGTGTAGACAACTGTTTGGTATAATGTATCCAGCTGAGGGTAGGGTACTCATGAGCAGATTGGCATGAATGTGGCCACCTGCAAGGAATTAAACAAGCAGGATTCTCATGGCCCAAAAAGACCCCAGTGTTCGCCCTTACACGAACTATCTCGTTTATCAATGCAGCACTGCTATTCCAGAGGGAGAAAGGAAATATGACTGTCAGTATTTTCCAAATAACTAAAGTTAAAAAGTTTAAAATTTTTCAACCAGCCTTGGTAGCTCATGCCTGTAATCCCAGCATTTTGGGAAGCCAAGCAGGCAGGTGGCTTGAGTCCGGGAGTTCAAGACCAGCCTGGTCAACATGGTGAAATGCTATCTCTACAAAAAATTTTCTGGGCATCGTAGTATGCCCCTGTAGTCCCAGCTACCCAGGAGGCTGAGGTGGGAGGATCACCTGTAGCTGGAAGGTCGAGGCTGCAGTGAGCTCTGATTATGCCACTGCACTCCAGTCTGGGTGACAGAGTGAGAGTCTGTCTCCAAAAAAAAAAAAGAGTTTAAAATTTTTCCCTTAAGAAACATTTCAAAGTATGAGTCACTGAACTTGAGGATCAGACTTGGATTTTTGAATTACAGAACTGCCAGTCTGAATAGGTTTAACTTGTTTGAACATCACTTTCTCTTGCTTGTAAACTGGAGACAACAAATGTTTTTAATGACTTCATATGAGAATTTAATAAAAAATAATTGATTTAAAGCTTCTAGCATGGCACCTGGTGCATAGTAAGAGCTCAGTTAATGTTAATTAATTTTATGTAGTGTAAAAGCTCAGTAAAATTTTTCTGTAAAGGGCCAAATAGTAAATATCTTAGGCTTTGCAGTCCCTATGGTCTCTGTCGCCACTACTCAACTGACCATTGTAGTGAAAAACAGCCGTAAGAAGTATTCAAACAAATGAGTATGACTGTAAATAAAACTTTACATACAAAAGCAAGCAGGGAACCAGATTTGGCCTGTGGGCTGTAGTTTGCCAAACCCTGGTCAAATTTGTTCCTTTTCACCTGTGTATTTCTACCATTCATGCCTTTTCCCTCAGAATAAAAGGTTTCCTTTCCCTGTCCTTTGCTGTCAGACCTGCGTTGTCTTTGAGGCCTCATTTTTCTTGCTAAGGCCATGACCTGTTGGAGATTTTCTCCATATTCTGTTGGCTCTCCAGGTCATGGGGCCCTACCCTTGCCCTGGTATCCCCCTTTCCTCTCCTCCTGGCCAGTTTTTGTAGGTAATTTAGTTGAGGATTAAATGCAGTAATCAACAGTTTTTCTGCAAGCATTTAAACAGCAGTGTGTAAAAATAGAAATTATTTTGAGCTGGTGTGGTGGCACACACCAGTAGTCCCACTACTTAGAAGGCTAAGGCAAGAGGGTCGCTTGAGCCCAGGAATTTGAGGCTGTGGTGCGCTATGATCGTATCTGTGCATAGCCACTGCACTCCAGCCTGGAAAACATAGCAAGACTCTCTCTTTTAAAAAGAAACAGCCGGGCGTGGTGGCTCACGCCTGTAATCCCAGCACTTTGGGAGGCCGAGGTGGGCGGATCATGAGGTCAGGAGTTTGAAACCAGCCTGACTAACATGGTGAAACCCCGTCTCTACTAAAAGTACAAAAATTAGCCGGGCGTGGTGGTGCGCACCTGTAATCCCAGCTACTCGGGAGGCTGAGATAGGAGAATTGCTTGAACCTGGGAGGCAGAGGTTGCAGTGAGCCGAGATCGCACCACTGTACTCCAGTCTACGCAACAGACTAAGACTCCGTCTCAAAAAAAAGAAAAGAAAGAGCATTGTCCCATTAGCAGACTTTCCTGTCACTTAAAGCTAGGTTAGAATGAGCACACAGACTCAGCTGAATGTTTTTCACTACAGATTAAAAGTTTGCTACATTTGTTTACACAATCAGGAATTATGAAATGCTGTGTCCTGGCTTGAAATTTTATTTCACTTACAAAAAAAGAATGAAGTTGACCTGTCTTCTAAAGGAATTGAAAGATGTAGTGGGTCCCTCTGAGGTAGGAATTGTGTCTTCTGGTTCCTTTATAACCCTCTTACAGCATTTGACACAATTGGCTGGGACGTAAATAATAAAAACTTATTGAAATGGTATTTATAGAACACTGAAAACCACAGTCATTTGAGAGAAGAGGATCATTTTTCTTGAGTTTTTATCTCCGTGATGTTTTATCAACCTCTATAATGCTATATGGCATGCAAGATATTAAAAGTTATATCTTTTCAGAGATGTCATCCACAAAAGATAAAAGTTAATTGTTCTTTTTGCTTTGTTTTTCTTACCTGGTTTTTTTAACATATGGACCCATACCAATTTAATATCTCTTTTTCTCAGATGGAGGCCAAAGTAAAGGGGACACTAAATTACCACGGAAATCTCAGTGACTGCCCAGCAAGCAAAGGAGACGAAATGTTTAGTTGACTGATGGAATCTACCTGATGGGAAAGTACTTATGTGGTCATAGGGCTGCTGTTTCTGTCGATGTTTACATTCTCTCGTCCCAAGCACTGTGGTGAGGAGGAAAAAGAAAACATTACTTGAGCAAAGCCAGGTGCAGGAGGAAGAAATGCTTTTGTGCAAAGTTAGTGACCTTTGGTCTCTTCTAAAGAATGACAAAGTTACCGTATTAATAGACTTGAAAGAGACTCAGTTGTCAAACCCACAGAAATACAAATTTGATTTTTCCCGGGGGAGGAAGAAGGAAGTCAAGAGAATTTGGGTAAACTCCATCCATCCTGGGGGTTGGATCTGAACACTTAATAGACATAATTGCTAATAAAAGGCATTAAAAACTGGAATTAGGCCAGTTTGTCAGGAATAATGATCATGTCTATTTGAGTGGACTGTGTAGCAAATTTGCCACAAAAAATAATAACAATAGTGATTCTATCTCCGATATACAGTAGCTGAAGAAATACCATACCCTCAAAAATCCTGAACAAACTTGAATCTTCTCCAGTGTGTAGCAACTCCCCTAAATCAGTGGACTAAAGATCCTTCAGGAAGTTATTTTAGCACAGTGATATATATTATTAAATCATCTAGATTTTTAAAAATCAGGAAGTTGAGCCTGTTGCTCTTAAGAGATGAAACCTAGATGTCCCCTTTTTGTAAAAGGGTCAATTTCATCTTCCATTCAGAAGCAGGTACTTAACTCTTTTCTTCAGGTGATTTGTGCATCTAGTATTGACTGGTTAATTCTTATTTCCATTCTTGATGTTAAAATGTGACTGTGTTCACATTTTTCTCTTGAGAAATGGGGATCTTTACAGGGTTATTGCTTTGCTGCTATTAGCCCTTGCAGCAACGTAAACTCTTAAGTTTCCCCAATTCATCTAACTTCACAACTTCTCCTTCTGTTCTTTTAGCTAGTGGTCCTTCAGGTGATTATTAGCTATTGGTATAAACAGGTAGAAGTGTACACTATGTTTCTTCATTGGTCATTCAAATGGCATGAATATAGTTTTCGAATTTTTAAGATGGTATTTTAAAGGGAGGAATCACATTAGGATCACAATCACAATGTATTTTTACTCCTTGTATCCAGTGTAGTGAAATTGTTTGGAGCATTTGAGATCTTAAAGCTTTACTAATATTTACTCAGTGTATTGATATGTGAGTAAATCTGCAGAAAATAAGACTCCTTAGTTATTATAGCTTCCTTATGCAAATAGCATATTCAACAAAGGATGTTAAGGGAAAAATTTATGGTTCTCCTTGGATGCATTTGATTTGACGTTTTTTGGTTTTTTGTTTTTTTTTGCTGTATTATTCTAGTTTTTTAAGCTTCTCTATATTTTCAAACTATATCAGAGAATGGTGTAAACTCTAAATGGTATAAGCCTGATCCATTTATAATGACACACTAACCTAAAAAAATCAATAGATGGTAGTGGCAACGTTTCTTGCATATATGTTTATTACACATTACCCTATACCATTAGATTACTCAATTAAGAGTATTAACCAGGCCCTTTTTTCTTTTATACGCAAAAGTCCCAGATATCCTACAGGACTGTGAATAAATAACCACAGATCTGTTTAGATCTGTATGCCTATATTTTGACTTCAAAGTCACATTGGCTTGCTTCCTAGCAAAAAAGTTAATAAATAACTGAAAACTTTAGTTCCAAGAACTTGTTACAGTAAAGGGAAAGGATTATTTCAAAGGAATCACTGATATGATTTCTTGACTCTTAAGAATTTAGTTTATCAATAAAACAAATATGGATATAGTATGAACCCCAGTAGATAATTTTGGAAGGATACTGGAAGGATGTCGCAGAGAAGTTTGACTTGAATTCAGTATGTTTGATGAAGATTTGCTTGGTTTCAGTTAGGGAAGCTTGCCCAATTTTTTTATTTTTTCAGATGTAGTGGACCTCTTGCTTTTACGAAAATTGAATAAAAAGGTCTTTGCTTAATACTAGGGGAAGTGATGAGATTTTCCTTTGGGAAGGTAACTTTTGTTTTGCTTCTCATACCACAAGAGAAGTTGAAGTGCATATTAATCTCTTTTCCGGAATACTTGTATATATGTGTGTATGTATATATGTGTGTATGTATACACACATATATACATACATATACACATATATATACATACACACATATATTCATACAAATGACTAGTTTGAGTCAAAAAATCATTTGAATTTCTTAAAACCATCAATTCTGAATCATGCCATGTGAAGATCCCTGGTGACTCTCATCATTAGAAAAGAACAGGATAATCAGTTCTTTTCCCTGTAACATTTTATACTAACGAGTAAAAATATCTGAAGGCCCTTGGCTCCAAGAATATAATATGGAGATTCTTCTGTGTTCTCTTTAGTCTTGATTCCTTGAGGACTGCTGTCAAATCCCTACTTTAAACCCCCATCTGCACTGACAACTTACATTCATTTCAGTCAGGACCCCTCTTTTATGTTGTATGAATCAGTCAAACATCCTTGTATTTCTGTATAGATAAAGCATGATCAGAGAGTTTCTACATGTAAATACTAATCTATTTCTTTTCTAGACCATAACATTGAAAAAGGTGCCCATACTTTATGGTCACCTGTCTTTACTGTTTTTATTACTAAAAACAAACATATAAATTGGTTATTTTTTAGCACAGAGACTTGTGACTCATACTGTATTTTTGCACTTAAAAATCAAATTATGTTATTTTTTAAAATGGTGAGTCATTGGAAAGGATATCTATAGAGCAACGTGTATTTCTGAAGAGCATTAGCAACATCCAAATGCAAAAATAATCAGCACACATGATTATATCCCACTCCTCGGGATTCTTGATTCAGGAAGATTAAGCTGTTTGTTTTCAACTGTTTTATATTTTAAATTGCCTTCACTGATATATAAGCTGTTACTGTACATACAAGTTAATCCTCAGTATTCACAAGCAATAACAGTCAGCAGAGTTGTCCTTGGAGATAGCTGTGCTGAGCCTCAGTTGGAGACTGGGAGCAAAGTGTCAAGCTCATTCAGAGCATCCAGAATAAATGCAAGCAATAATTTCCACTATAAGTCAATTATAATTCTTGTATGCTTTTGAGGTCGGAGGGTAAATGAAATCATGATTTTAAAACAGCCTGAAGGAAAAGGTTTTGGGAAAGGAAATGAGGCTAATCTGTAGTCATAAAATTCTAATACTTTGTGGGAATTAGAAGATGGTGATAGTGCATTCTTTCGTGCCCACCACCCCTCTGATGGATGTTGTTAGCCCAAATTACATTTTTCATATCATGGACATTGAATAGGGTTTATTGAATCACAAAGGTAAGGGGAAGAACCGGGCACATATGTGTTGGAATACTGTGGGTTTGACACCTGGTTGAAAACAACTTATTGGACATGATTTTTAACCCAGGATTTTTTTTTTTCCCAAAGCAGATCTAAATTGTTTACTACCCAGGGTTGGAAAGGGCAGGCACCTCTAACATAGTCTTTCTCCTCTGGTTGCCCTCTCCCACACCCCTTTCCACCTATACTTGGTTCAAGACATTTTCTGAAACAAAAATTCTACTGTTATTCAAACTGCCATTGGTTATGAGAACTCTGTGTCCTTTGGGATCATCTCTTAGAACTCCAGTGATCTATCATATTTGCTGCTACATTTGTAAAATGAACTTTGCCTGTATTGGTTGACTTTAATCTAATTTACAGTTCTTTATTTCTAGGATGTTCTGTCCTCTAATTTGACTCATGTATAGAATTAGGATACTTTATTTTAGGAGTGTATCATAAAAGCACACTGGTCCCTATGTTGTTTTTATTATTTAGGTTTGGAATTTCTGTTTGCTTTTTTGTTTTTTGTTTTGTTTTTTTAAAGTTGGAAATAGAAGAATGAGAAAAATCTATAATCAGGCCAAACTTGAGAACTGTCCTGTGCTTCAGCACTGTAATTCTGCTGACCTAATGTTCTCAAAAGGGCACTTTTATTTTCTGTTGTGCATGTATGATTGTTGTTTTTTGCTTTTGGGGGGGCTTTTGTGTTTGTAATAATGAAGCAGAAGAAAAGTGCAGTAGTAGATAAATGACTGATCACAAACATGTTATGCAATTTTATTTTATAAAATTTTAAGGGGAAAAGTTTAACTCTTTGTAAATCATTTCTTAGCTCTGGTAAAATGCTTATATTACTCCTCTAAAACATGCTCAATTCAGGCCTTTGTCTTTGTTAAGTGCCTTTTTTCTTTCTTTTTTCCCCTCTTTTGAAACTGTTGTCAGATTATCTTAAAGTACAGACTGATAAGTCAGGGGATTGAGGAGGAAGAATCTCACACTTGCCAACGTCATGTCATGCTGTAACCCTCTTCCTTTTCTTGCTATGTATATGGATATATATGTAAGATACATACATTACATATATATAAAACTAGGAGCTGCTGTACCATTGCATCCTTTCCAAACACTCCCCTTTCAGTGTTTGCAAAACTTCTGCCTTGTTTATTCCATTGCTTTTAGTTGATTAAAGTGGGTGGATTAGAAAAGTATCTTTTCGGCCTGGCGCGGTGGCTCACACCTGTAATCCCAGCTCTTTAGGGGGCCGAGGCGGGCGGATCATGATGTCAGGAGATGGAGACCATCCTGGCTAATACGGTGAAACCCCATCTTTACTAAAAATACAAAAAATTAGCCGGGCGTGGTGGCAGGCGCCTGTAGTCCCAGCTACTCGGGAGGCTGAGGCAGGAGAATGACGTGAACCCGGGAGGCGGAAGTTGCAGTGAACTGAGATCATGCCACTGCACTCCAGCCTGGGCGACAGAGCAAGACTCCGTCTCAAATAAAAAAAAAAAAAAAAGAAAGAAAAGAAAAGTATCTTTTCACAAGAGGCCATCTTTGCCCTTTGAATATCTGCTTGTAGAAGTTGACAATAACAACACACACACACACGTCAGTTACTACAAGTAAAATAAACTTAGTGAATCATTGACTATTCTTGGATGTAACCCACTTTTCTTTGCTCTTTAATCTTGGCATAAGTAATACAGGAGAAAGCATTGGAATAACAAGAGTACCTTGCAAGTCACATTGGTAAGGTGCGCTAGATTAAACATGCGAGAAGGCTAGTGTTAGAACCATGATATGGTATCTGAATAAGTTTAGAAGGAAGTTAGCAACTTGCAATGTTAAAAATGTATCATATTTTCTTCTGGAAAATGATTTTTGAAGAAATCATATAGCTGCATATCTATCTGTTAAAAGGTTAATAAACTCAGAAGTAGAAAGACTTCAGATGCTGAGGAAAACATTCATATAATCTATAGCATTCTTGAGAGATTTTCCATTTGCATTTTATTTGCTAGATAATTACATTTGGCTTAATCTGATTTTATTGTTATTTAGATTTCTCCGTTGAGCAAAATAACATAATTTTCAGTATCTGAGATTCATCGATTTCTTGTTGAAAACAAATAGACATGTTAAGGGAGACCAAGTTGAACCATCCCTCAAACCCAGTACTAATATACCTAGTAAGTGCCCCCTTTTCAATACATTCTAATTGGAAAGAAGAGACTAGTGGCTTAAAAGGAAAAAGCAGAAGCTCCTGGTAGTGTTACCTGATAGCAAAACTTGCCAGGCAGTTGGAATTCACAAGTGTTATTCTTGAGTGACTATGTCTAGGGGGAATATCGTTTAACCTTCGTGCCTCAGATTACCCATTAGACAATTGGGTATAATCATATTCACCTACCTCCCAGGGATATCAGAGACTTTACTATTTCAAAAATATTTTGAGTTTTTGTAAAATGTCCTATATAATTAAAAATAGTATTATCATCTTCCTGCAGAGGCTAGAAAATGTTTTCCTTATAATAAGTATAAAAAGCACCCTATGATTTTTAAATTAAAAAATCACTGGAATTTTAATTTAGATACGTATTTGTTATTTAAACATTATCTTTGAAGTGGGATAAAATGTTTAGTTTCAGGTTAACAAGGGAGAGAGATAACACTAAGTTTAAGTAGTTTTTGGTTTTTTTTTTTTTTTAGCCTTTTACGGTGTTATTGTGATTTTTGTCAAGGTTATGGAGCTAAAGTTAGATAAAGTTATGATGCTTGGTTGTTGGAGTTGATAAATGATCCTGGAAGATTTAACTGCCTCACTTTCCCATCTTCTCAGTCTAATTTCCTTTTATTGCTTGTTTGGGGACGGAGAGCTAAGCTTTTTAACTTTCTAAGAATGAGTAGGATGTCTCCTCATTCTTGCAAATCAGAGATTGTGTACTAATTCCATTAACTGTAGGTGTATCCAGCTCTGCACTGAAGAGGTGAACACTACACACAGCCAGCTGGGTACTCTTGTAGCCATTGCACCTTTGTAATTCATGCTTCTTCAACCCGTGAAAGAGGTGGAGCCATCAGCTGCTCAGGTTGTAAGAAAATGGGAGACGGAAGGCAGGATTCACTTTCTAACTGGGTCGGGGTGGGGAAGGTCAGGGTAGAAGGAAACATGTTTCTCCCAGCTCCCAGGAAGAGATGAAGATCATTTTATCCTGCCTTCCATCCCTGCATATTAAGTAGTACTACTACATAGAATTTTCCCATTATCATTGAAAATAGTAACAACAGGAAAAAAAATGGATGCTGCAGTTTTAGTTGGGGTAAATGCTGAGCAATGATTGTTGGAGTGTATGTGTAAATTTAAATTGTAGCACATATTCAGGGTCAGGAAAGGAGAATGTGGGGGATGAGGAACCAATTTTATCAGGTTCAAGTGAGTCAGTAGAAAGCACCAGGTCCAAGCAGGCAAAGCATCTGGTTAATTTCCAGAATTGGGTAAGGTCCATTGAATCTCTAATGATAGGAGTGTGTGTGTGTGTGTGTGTGTGTGTGTGTGTGTGTGTGTGTCTTTTTGGGTTTTTGTTGCTTTTTCCAGATAAGGCCTTAGTTAGTAGCCTCTAAATATCAACTATGCAGACAAACATACTTCTTTTTTTTTTCACATTTCCCTGTCTTTTCCATTCTCAGATAACAAATGTTAAGACCCAAAGAAATAAGGCATAAGGGTTTTTGTTGAATGTGTGTGTGTTCCTCTAGGGAAAATTAACAGAAGCATAAAATAGAGATACTTTGTGTGTTCATCTATCCTAAAATGTGAACTCTGCATTCAAAGACTATCTACAGATCCTTTCACTGGTGCAAAGCTGTAGTTAGCATCATGGAATGTCTTTGGGTTGTTAATGATAAAATCATCCCAGTGTTCAATTCTGAGAGTTTTAGATTATATGACACAATGTTCAGGTTTATAGAGCTGAATGGGTGGTCAAACTCTAATTAAAAATAGCTTTGAATATTAATGTTGAATTCTTCTTTCTTGGTTTCCTGTAGTCTTCATTCTTTATTCAGAGCTCTTAATCATATTGCTACTCTAGAATTTGAGTTGTATATTAGGAGTCTGGGGAGGAAAGGTTAAATTGTCTTTTATATCCTCTTCTCACTCACTCTGGCAACCTATCCTGTGTGCCCATAGAACTGAAAAGTAAAGCCCTGTGCAGGCCTGCTTTAGAAGACTGTTTACATCCCAGCAGAGGACTCGGGTAGGGACTCTCTTAGGATTTTAATCAGACTGCCTTTGAATAATGTGATATTAAATTTTATTTTTCTCATAGACTCTCAAAGTACCACTTGCTTGAAAGGAGCTACTTGTGATCTTTAATTTCCTCATATTGTAATAGTTCTACTTCTCAGTCTTTCCTGTGTATCTCCATTTCATAGTGGGTTAGTACTTAAACTTCCGACACTTTTCCAAACTGTTAAGTCAGGAATGCGTTTCAGAATCGCAGTAGTATTATTAGGGTCTCTGTATCTAGGACTTACAGTCATCGGTGGTCATCACTGGGACTAGAGGGGTTTTTTGTTTTCGTCTTCTCCTTTGTATTAAAAAATAGATTTTGCTACTGTATAATGCGGCATTTCATGACTTCCTCTTGTTACTTTTTCAAGGTTATTCTAAAGAGATGGAGATCTTTATTAGGAGCTATTTCTCATAACAGTCTGCCTTGCTTATTTTCATACTCCCCCTGAAATAAGCCTACTTTTGCAAACAGGCCATATGAATCAAATTTTATGTTTGTTCCTCACAAAATTTTCTATACATTATTTGTTCCCACTTTGCTAATAATAATATAATGATTTTATTGTAAATCTGTGTTTTAAATATTTTATAATAGAACACTAATGGAAACCTAATAAATACAAGCAAGATGACTATTACCCAAGATAACATGGAAATACTTCTGTTTTTGAAGTTAACAACACCATCTGCCCTCAAAGCACATTTAGGTGTATCAACTAAGACCAGCCAGTTGACATGTTTTTCTGTGTGACAGCCTGCCCATCAATTGTCAGCTCTTAGCTATCTTGTGTTCGCTGTGCTTGCAGCCGTAAGCTTTCCTCCTTTTTTGCTTATCCCTGCTGTTTGTAGGGTTAGTGTGCCCTCTGTCAGAAAATTGGGTTTTCTTTACTGTACCTGCAAAATTACCAAGGGTTACCCCAATAGTGTCTAAAGGAATTAAAAAGAACTTATTCTCAGTTGACAGAAGTATTACTGTTTTACATAGTTAATTGGAAAGTTGGCCAACTTTGGTCACCTATTTTTGAGTCTTGGCTATGCCTTTGTAATTAATTACATATACCTTCTGAGACCTTCAGCTAATCAATGGGCCCTTCCCCATTAGAGGTAGGTTCCCAACCTACAAATAATTTCCTGTGATCCATGGCAAGCCTCCAGAGAAAAGATTCAAGCTTTGCACTGCCCTTTTGTTGGTTGTCACTGAAAACTTACTTTATTTTAGAAAGTATCAAAAATACCAAATTGGTCTTTCAGAGAGTGTGTAAATCTGGGGCTTGCCCTTACATTTCATTTGTTAAACACCCTCAAACTTAAGAAAATAAATCTCTAGCTGGTGACAGTTTTGTGCCCCCCATAATATATTAATCCAAATCTACCAAGGTAACTAAGTGATGGGTGTTTTCTCTCTTTTCTTACAAGCAAGAAAGTTTATTTGCAGTTGTAAAAACGATTACAGAACTCCAGGCCTATTTGCTGTAACTGATTGGAAATAATGATTCTGATTTTTAGTCTGGGTGAGCACATACTTCTAACCCTTATGGTGTGAATTTTGATAAGGGAAAGACTTGTTTGGTAGCCCAAGGAAAAACAGGATGTGTTTATACAGTGAATGTTCACTCTGCAGAGGAACTTCCCTCCAGTTACATCTTCCTCATACATTAGCCACCTCCACACCTGACATAGGTGCCAACATGTTTCAAAACCAATCTTGAAGGAGCCTAAAGAGTTGATGGTCCTCTAGGTGAAAGGCACGAATTACTGTATCACATTTGCTTATATGGAGGTGTGTTTTTGCTAACTTGAAGGGATATACTGTATTTCAAATAAGTGTGTGACTTAATATTTTGGGATTTTTTTTTTCCTCCTTTAAAAACTGGACCTGAACACAAGCTTTGAGTTGATATTTGTAATAATCTCAGGACCTGAAAGATTGTAGCATTTAGTGTGTCTTAAAAATTATGTACTGTACCAGCCATGGATTTTTGTAAATATACCTGTCTCCCTTTTTTGTATTTTAGTAAAAAAAAAATAATAAATTTAAATAAAAGGGGGTGGTGATGACATGTGAATGGGTGTGGGTATGTGTGTGTGTGTGTGTTTGTATAAGGCTCTTTTGAGATGAACTGGTGCTTGTTTAATTTCCAGCTCAAATCGGAGCAGGAATATGGACAAACTGCTGCTACTGAACCCTGCACTGAGCCGAGGTATTTCCATTTGGTTAATTAAACGCTAGCTACCAGGAAATGACGCAGAAGTCACGTTCTTCTTCCCACTGCCATCTTGCCTTTGCATTCTCAGTTCTACGTGCCCTTTGAACTTTAATGGTAAAACATTTCAAACTTTGGGTGGTTTGCTTGTCTCTAGTTTTTAGAAAGCTCTTATCACTCCTTCCTGAGAAAAAAGAAGGACAGATAAATTTTTTAACCAAAATCACACATTTCATAAAACCCTGATGAATTTTGGATATGTGAGAGGGCATAAACATTCCTAAATATGGACCTGTGAATTTAGTAAATTATTCCCATGAATATACTCCTTCAGTGCAGGGATTTTTGTGGGTTTTTTTGGTTTTTTTGTTTTTAATTTTTTTTGCAACAGCCTTGCTCATATTCCAGGTGTAGCTAGCAAACCCCTGTTTTTGAAGCAAGAGCCTTATTTGATTCAGTGTAGGTGTTTCCTGTCTATCCTTTGTGACAGGGCCTTTTAATGAGTGTTTTTTCTTTTTGTATATGTTACGTGTTTGTTGTTGTATTAAATAAAGAGGAATGTACATACTACCCTCGTGTCTGTTGTGTTATTGAGTTACCTTGGGTTCTAACATCACACTGTCAGCTCTGGGGGAGTATCTCCTGCCCATATCACACTGTGCTAGGCTTACAGGGTACAAGAAGTAAAGGACACAGTCTCCTGCCTCCCAGTGTACTCAAAATTTGCAGTCACATGATAAGTTAAAAGATAATGGTTCAAAATTTGTCACAAAGCTGTGGTCTGTTGCCACCTGACATTTGAGTTCACAGTGGGGAAGAAATGGGACTGGAGTAATCTGGGGAGACTCAGTGCGATGGATGGCATTTGAGGTCGGCCTCCAAGAACTGGTGGAATTTGGCCAAATCAGGAAGGTAGATCATCTGCTGTGAGGGGCATGTTTGGACAAGTACAGGAAGGCAGAGTGTGGGAGTCCTTGATTGTGACTCACTCTAGGTTTTTTGGGTAATAGGGTATGTGTGTATTTGATGATGCTACTATGGTCAGGACTTGAAATGTAGATGTGGGAATCATGCAAAAATAATTCAACCTTAGAAATTCAGGTAAGAGGCTGGGTGCAGTGGCTCACGCCTGTAATCCCAGCACTTTGGGAGGCAGAGGCGGGCAGATCATGAGGTCAGGAGATTGAGACCATCCTTGCCAACATGATGCAACCCTGTCTCTACTGAAAATACAAAAATTAGCTGAGCGTGGTGGCATGTGCCTGTAATCCCAGCTACTTGGGAGGCTGAGACAGGAGAATCGCTTGAACCAGGGAGTCAGAGGTTGCAGTGAGCCGAGATCGCGCCACCGCACTCCAACCTGGTGACAGAGTGAGACTCCGTCTCAACAACAACAAAAAAAGAAATTCAGGTAAGGGGTGGGAGAAGGATGAAGAGAGAGAAAGCAACTTGCCAGAGAAAGTGGTTAATTCATTATTTTTAAGTGTATGTGTGATCTGCATAGAAAATATCAAAAAGGTTATTGCTGAAATGGGGTTGTAGGAAAAAAATATCAAAAAGGACATACACCCCAAAATATAGAGTGATGGTATGAGTGCTTTTTATTTTTTCCTTTTAAGTGTATTTTCAGTGTGTTGTCATGAAGATGAAAAGAACTAAGAAATTCAAAAGGCATCGACCTCATACATTAGGGGATGAGGGGGACTGTAAGTGCCTTTATCATTTAAGGACAGTTTTGCAAAAGTGTGTTCTTGTCAGCAGTACTCCTCAAGATGATTTTTGACAAAACCAGAAAACCCTGTGGTTATGTAATTGAACAGTACTTAACCATGTTTTCACCATCTTGTAAATGTAAACATAAAGGTGTCATTGTTAAACAAATTTTTTTTTAAAACTTGTATTTCTACCAAGAGTATTTGGCATGGGACACTTTTTTAATGTAATTCCAATTAACATTACATTTTAAAAAGTGGCCAAGGCGGGTGGATCACCTGAGGTCGGGAGTTCGAGATCAGCCTGACCAACATGGAGAAACCCCGTCTTCTACTAAAAATACAAAATTAGCCAGGCATGGTGGCGCACGCTTGTAATCCCAGCTATTCAGGAGGCTAAGACACAAGAATCGCTTGAACCCAGGAGGTGGAGGTTGCAGTAAGCCAAGATCGCGCCACTGCCCTCCATCCTGGGTGATTGTAAATACATGTGTGTGTACATACATGCATTAGAAAATACACAAAAGAACATACACCCCAAAATGTAGAGTGGTGGTATCAGTACTTTTTCTTATTTTTCCTTTTACTTAAATATATTTTCTATGAATGGATAACATGAGTATTGTTTTATGTAACAAATAGGTGACTTTTTGGTTGAAAAGAGGGAGAAAGAAATGGGAAGGGGCCTCTCCCTGTCTCATCACTGGAAGAAGGGGAAAGGAAGGAATATATTTCTTCCACTCAGACCTTAGTAGATCCTAACACTGGATTTGGCTTGGAGGGAAAATACAATAAACTACTTGATTGAAAATAAAGATGTGTTGGCCGGGTGCAGTGGCTCACGCCTGTAATCCCAGCACTTTGGGAGGCAGAGGCGAGCGGATCACTTGAGGTCAGGAGATCGAGACTAGCCTGGCCAACATGGTGAAACCCCATCTCTACTAAAAATACAAAAATTAGCTCGGCATGGTGGTAGGCACCTGTAGTCCCAGCTACTCAGGAGGCTGAGGCAAGAGAATCGCTTGAACCCAGGAAGCAGAGCTTGCAGTGAGCCGCGATCGCGCCACTGCACTCCAGCCTGGGCGACAGAGCGAGACTCCGTCTCAAAAAAAAAAAAAAGAAAAGAAATGTGTTTTGCTTTGGGAGACTGAGGTGGGAGGATCACTCGAGCCCAGGAGGTTAAGGTTGCAGTGATCTATCCTGAGCAACAGAGCAAGACCGTGTTTTTTTTTTTTTTTTTTAAGTTTATATTTGGTAGGGAAAAAAAGTACAAAGTACATGGGGATATAATGCGTGCAAAGCAAATCTTCCTACCCACGGTCCCATCTTCCTTCCCCAGAGCAACCACCTATCAATTTCTCCAGTTAAAAGCAATGATATGTATCTGAGTTTGGAATATAAACTTAGCATACATAGCTGGGCACCGTGGTTACGCCTTTAATCCCAGCATTTTGGGAGGCCAAGGGAGGCAGATCACTTGAGGTCAGGAGTTTGAAACTAACCTGGCCAACATGGTGAAACCCCATCTCTACCAAAAATACAAAAAAATCAGCCGGGCATGGTGACGCGTGTCTGCAATCCCAGATACTCGGGAGGCTGAGGCAGGAGAATCGTTTGTGCTTGGGAGGCGGAGGTTGCGGTGAGCCAAGATCGTGCTACTGCACTCCAGCCTGGGCCACAGAGTGAGATTCCGTCTCAAAAATAAATACATACATAAACTTAGCATACATATACACTGTATCTAGCATTTTTAAGTTAATCTTGGAGGTTATTTCACAGTACATAGAGGTCTGTCTGGTTCTTTGAACAGCTTCATAGTATTCTATAGTTGTGATACCACTTATTGATGGGTGATTAGGTTACTATCAGAGGTAAACCACAGTATCCTTTATATATTTGCCATCTGTATATAATGCAAATGGACAGTCAAAAGTTTGCTTTGCCATGGACAAAAATGATCTAACTAGATTTGAGTCTGTCTGAAATCTGTACCACTGCTTCCTATACATACAAAGCTTTGAGAAATACTTGAGAAAATCAGTCTTTTGTTTAAGATTTTTGATAATTGGAAACAGGCAGAAGAGATGCCTTTCAATTTAGTAAGGGTCGGGTTAATCGTGAGATCATACACTTTTCAAAGGACAATGACAATCTCTTCTCAGGCAGGCATACTCTGACATGTCCTGAGTGTCCTTACTTCAGAAAACATCGGTCCTCCATACGTGCCTAGGCATTGTTTGGTTTTTCTCCTTCTGTATATTTGCCTCTTCTGTGTCTCTGTGTTTGTCCCTTCTTCATTTCCCCATCATCTTTTCTAGTGGGTGGCGTGGTGTGAAGAACAGGTTGACGGCAGACAGACGAGTTCACAGGACCCCATTGTGAAGCTGTGTCACTCTAGACAAGATGCTTTCCCTTTCAAGCCCATTTCCTCCTCTGCACAGGGATGGGACCCCAGACGGGTGTGTTGTTTGGGTTAGAGACAAAGTATGGAAAGCACCTAGCGCAGTGCCTAGCACATAATAAGAGCTTATAAATGGTGGCTACTATTATTCTGTCTCTTGTCTTTTTACTTCTTAAATGTATTCTTCCTCTTGGTCCCCTAATTTCCCAAAAGTATAGAAGTGAAGTTATAGTGTTGTTTAAAAATCTGGTGTATTTATTGCTTAAAGTACAGGCATAGATAGATAGCAGTTAAAATTGTTTCATCACAGGTATCAGAAACTCCTGGCTGAAAAAGTCAAGGGAATCTTCTGGTTCATCTGAGTAGTCTTACAGATACATGGTTTAGTTGAAGCGTCATGGAGTGACTCCATGTCACCAAGATCCAGCTCTGTCTGCTCTGCCATTCCGAGGACCTGGCTCCGCAGGGAGTCCATGAGAGCCTCAGTCTCTCTTTCTGTAGTCAAATGCGTGCTGTAGTTTCAAACTATATGTGAGTATGTGCTGTGGATAATTTCTACTTTGTACTCAAATGCAAAGTAATGCGTCAACCATATGCCTTGATTCATAGCACATTGTCATCATCAGTCAGCTCGAGAACTCATTCCCTCACTTCATTATCCATTAAGTTTCTCCTCTTCCTTAGTCCCCACTCTGCTCTGTCCCATAGTCTCCACCCTTACTTTTTTGATATGCGCCCCTTGTTTTGCAGGCATTCTTCAAAGTAAGTAGTATTGTGTTTATGTATACAATTCTAATTCATACCAATGGTACTGTGATAGCCGTGTTTCCTGTTTTCTACTTAGATGCATCCATGTTGCTGTGCGTCCATTCGGGGTGTTGCTTCTTACTGCCGCACAGATTCCCTAGTGTGCACGCACCACGTTATACACACCTGTTCCCCTCACAGTGGGTAACTAGGTTATGTTCAATTCCTTATTACCAAAAACAAGGTGATAGTTAGTCTTCCCTTCTGTCAGTTGGGTGCTGATCTTTGCTCATTGTGCAATTGCATTTTGGTGTCTTGTTGTGGATATTAATCTCTTACCAGTTTTAGATGTGTCAGTTACTTTTGTCTGTTACCTGTCTTTTAACTTTGTCTGTGACATACTTTATTGAACAGAAATCCTTACTTTTTGATTCATCTACTTTTTGTCTTATGTTTGTGTTTGGGACAGTTTACTTATGAAATATTTCCCTAGTCCTATACCACAAAGATATCCTCCAGAATTTTCTCCTATGAGCGTTATAGTTTTGCCTTCACATTTTCATTTACAATCCATCTGGCATCTACCTTTGTATATTGTGTAATGTAGGGATCCAACTTTATTATTCTATGTTTAGTGAAGCAGTTTTCCCAATGCCACCTAACAGATCAATACTTCTCCCATTAATTTGTGGTACCATTTTTATCATATA